GGAATCCTGCTCCCACCCCCACCCCCAGCTGCCTCTTCCAGTGAAATCCCCCTTTCCTGGCAGACCTCAGAGACTCAGCTCTCACCCCCTACCACTCCCCCAGGGGCGCCGGGGGCCACTGTTTCCTGGATTATCCTAAAAGCTTCCGAGGCCCTGAGGACTTGGCAGCATCCCTGCCCGCGGCTCTCGCCTCCCCCCTGGCTGACTGTCGCCTCCTTTATAAAGCCCAGCTCTCCCAGCACCCCCACTTGCCCCTCACTGCTGCTCCCAGCTCTGGGCTCCATGGACTGGTAAGAAGGGCTATTTCTCGTTCAGTTCAGGGTCCAGGAGGATCAGGTTGCCACTCTAAGAGTGGAGAATCCTAGAGAAGGGTCTGGAAGCCTGGATTCACTCTGAACTGAGGAGGGGGCACGGAAGTGGGAGAACTGGGAGGGGTCTGCGTGGAGGAGCAAAAGAGGGTTCCACGGAGGCCTTAGGTCTGGACTGAAATCTGGGAGAAGGGAGGTGGGGATTCAGCTGTGCGGAGAAGCCTGACTGAACCATTGCAAGAGAAAAGAGGCGCAAATAGTAAGACGCGCAGGGCACGCGCTCACCACACGGAACATCACATGGGCTGGAAAACGAGCCACAGCAGGGAGACCATCCCAGGGGGGCTGCACAGAGAGAGAATAGGTACCCCACATGCACACACTTTTGCAGGTTTCCACACACACACTTATACACTCAGCGGGGTTCACTGTTCAGACTGAAAAATGATTTGGCTGCTAATGATATTGGGATTCATAGCAGAATTGGTGTCCTGGCTGGTGCTGGGCTCCCCTGAGGACCTAAGTGTTTGTTGAGTGAATAAAGGATGAATGAAAGAAAACCAATTATTTCCTACTCAGCCTGGGAGAGTGACAGAGAGAGGTTGAGGGAGGAGGGGTGTGTTGGCCTCCAGGGTTTTCTAAACATCTCTTGGAAGGGCCAGAGGGAAGAAAGAAGGGTGAGTAGCTTGAGAAGCAGGACAGAGGGGACCTGGGACTGGGCCTCACTCTGCTTCTAGCGAGTTTCTTTTCCTTGATTGAGCGACTTACCTTCCTGTTCCCATTAGGAAAATGAGGATACGCTCTAGACAATTTTTATGGGAAGCCTAGGTTCAATAATCTCATAGTATAACCTCTATAGGACAAAGTTTGGAAGGGACCAGAGATGTAGTTGTGACTTGTCTCAACAATCCAGGATGGGACCAGTTTGTCCTATTAAACTCTGGATCACGGATGGCTTTGATCTAATGATGAGTTAGTGAGTGCTACACTCTCCACCTCCAGAATCCCGGAGAGCAGGACTCCCAGGCCCATCCTCTCAGCCAGAAGCCCCATGGAATAGCAGGTAGAACATGGGCTTTCCTGGCTGATCTGAAAGGCGGCTTCCTTCTCTGTCTCTTAACAGCTCTGTAATCTTGGGCAGGTCATGGAACTTCTTTTGATCTTTGGCTTCCTCATCTGTACAATGGGGGACTAATAATAACTACTTTGCTGCCCTTGTGAGAAACAGTGATAGTTGTATATAGCTCCTGAAACATAGTAGGTGTTCAATCAATAAATAAGGGTCATGACAAACATGGAGCTTAATGAGGGAGCTCCAGCTACTAAATGGATTGGATTGCTGGCTAGAAATAAGAAGAGGGCTGACAGGAAAATGGGATGGACAAAAATATGCCCATGTACCCAAATGGGGGCAAGAAGAACAGCAAAAATGGTTGAAAATGGTTGAGTCCGTGGTGCCCAAGAGATAGTACAGCGGGTAGGGCATCTGCCTTGCATGCAGCAACCCGGGATCACTCCCCAGCACACATGCAGTTTCCTGAGCACCACCAGGAGTGATCCCTGAGTGCAGAGCCAGGAATAAGCCCTGAGCACTGGGTGTGTCCACACCCCCCCAAAAAAAGAAACAGAAAAGAAAAAAAGGGTGCCCGGCTTAAAAAAAAGAAAAGGAAAGAAAAAGAGAAAAGAAAAGAAAAGGGAAAAAAGAAAGAAAAAAGAAAAATAAAAGAAATGGCTGAGTCTTGGACATATCTCAGCCTCTGTGGAAAACATGGTCATGGTGTTGCTCAGTTTTTGAGATAAGATGACCACAAGGGGCCATGGTGTCTTGGTGGATCTGTCAATATCACAGCAGTAGGAAACGCCTAGCAAGTGGGAAAAGGAAAGAGCTAGAATCAGAAGAACTCGGTAGCAGGTGGGGGAGTGAGATATGGAAGAAAGTGCCCAAACCAGAGGCAGAAACTAGGCAGGGCAGAAAATCAGAAGGGCGAGTTTTCTGGGATGACTCTATTACTATTGAATTTCCTGTAGGTGACAGGGACTTTGCTCCTGGGATTCCCACCCCCTTGCTCCCCTCCCCCCCACCCCACCCCATTTAACTGTGTGGACAGGTTTTCTACCTTCCAAGTACTGTGGGTATATTTCCCTGTGGCTTTTCAGGTAAACTGGAAAAATCCAGGAAAAATAAGGCAATCTGGCACCTATAAATATGCGAGAGGGAATCTGGAATCTGTCTCACACGGAATCGGAACCCTGCTCCTTGCGGTTAAGCACCTAACAGCCTTAAGCTGCGGAAACAGCCAGAAGGTGAATAGACTTGGAGCTGCCGGGAGCAAGCTGCAGAGAAAGCAGAGAATACGGGGTCCAGGGGTCACATCAGACTGCAACCAGAAATTTCCGTTACAGGGTTCTGGGACATGAACCCCAGACATTTCTGTGAAGTAGCTACGAATTGCAGGCTGTGTGAATGGAGGTAAAACCGTTCTGAGGAGCGTTGCCCAAGTAACTGTGGCCACGAAGATCCAGAAAGGTTTAGAATCGCTTGTTTTGTTTTTAAATTTTTTAGTGTTGTGTGTGGGATGGGGGCTAGAGTGTCGGAGGGAAACTCAAGTAATCAGCAAATACAATTCCCAGTGATGGGGAGATGCTTCCAGGCTTCCCAGGAAAACTCATTCTCTATCCCTAAGGGCAGCTTCTGTAGTTCTATTTTACCTCAGAGGAAACTGAGGTTCAGGGCTATCAAACTCACCGGATCAGTTTAGCAAATGAGAATTCAGATTTGTCAACTTCTAAAGAGCCTGTGCATGGAACTTAATCCAACAAGCATCATCTGGGAACGGACTTAGTGAATGATTTGAACCCTGTTAACAACAGTACTTTCCATTAATCATGAATTTATGAGGGGGTCCTGCGGGTATGTCATGTAATGGATTTCCTTAAGTCCCAGGAAACCCCACCAACTTGTACCCAGGTTGTTTAGATGAAGAAATAGTCTTAAAAATGACAGGTCATTCGCAGGAATGAGAAATGGGATCTGAGCATGAGAATGTTCTGGGGAGAAACGCCAACACCCAGAGACACATTTCAAGTAACTTGATGTTCTCTGAGGGCATTTGGAGTGTGTTCCCAACAAGAATGCCTGTCGAGGGGACTAAAGGTGCTTGGTGAGATCGAATCAAGACTCAATTCTATTGCGGCTGTATGAAATAGACTGTAAAGGCAAAAAACCAAAAAAAACGAAATTTAGAAAGCCGATGGCAAAGCGCCTAGGAAAAGCCAGTCGGAGCCAGGAAAACAAAAACAAGAACAAAATCGCAGAAATCGATCACAAGTGACCTGTAGGAAAGCGAGTAAGACGGGGGTCAAGCGGCGGTCAGTGGAGGTACCAGTTAAGAAGGGGCCACCGGGCACGGGGGCGCACTGGCTAGTCGGGCGGGTCGCCGGGGACCTCGCTCACCGTCGGGCGCTCGATATCTTGAGAGAAGTTTTTAGATGAGTGCGGCGAACGCCCTTACATTTTGCAGTGTTGCTTTATGGTTTATTTTTCTTTCCGCTGAGGAGTCCCAGTCCCTTTCCCAAAGAACTTGGAGGGGGAGTGAGGAAGGAGCCGCGGCTGCCGCACGTCTCAGTTCTGCCCAGAAGTCGAGCCCTTCCTGGGACCGTTCTGGCGCCCCTTTCACCTTTCAGGGGTGGGCGCGCGGGGCTCGGCTGGTGGCGCAAAGGCTGCGCTCCTCCAGCGCCCAGGAAAGGGTCTATTTGAGGGATGCACTTCGGTGGAGCTGGGGAACGAAAGTTGAAGGGGCCTGGGGCCAGAGATGGGCTAGCGGAGAGGGGAGCGGTGGAAATAAACACCTAAAGCTGAGCGTCCCCGGAGGGGGAATCGGACTCTCCGGAGCCCGGGAGAGAGGAGTGCGCTGGGGATGGAGAAGCGCTGGGGTACCGGTTAAGGAAGGAAGGTGCAACCTGAATACGTTTCTCCCAGATGAAGGCTGCGGCTTGGGGGTGTGGAGGGGCGCGGGAAGGACACGTACTTGGCGCTCAGTCCTGTCTCTTGTCTTGCGGGGCAGCCCAGGCCGGCCGAGGCGGGTGGTCGAGGGCCGTGGAGGCAAAGAACCCTACTACAGTGACTCTGTGGCACCCCCTCCTCCCGCCGCCCGGTCCCCCACCGTCCTGTGTGCCAGGCCAAACTAAAGCCGGCTCGGAGACTCTTTTCCACCCGATGGGGCGGGTCTCAGAAGCTGGGAAACACTTCTGCGCAGGCCCCTTCCCCAAAGGAGTGGAGGGGCGAGGGAGGGGCGAGGGAGGGGCGGGAGGCGACCTAGTTCGTGATCCCCGCCTCCGTTGCTCGCCCACCCCCTCCCCGCGAGCCCGTCCAGGCTCGGCCTCTCCCAGCGGGCCGAGCCCGCAAGGGTTAAAGACGGCCAGGTGAGGTGGGCGGAGCCGCGAGTTGGGGAAAAAGGAGCGCAGGGCCGAGGATGAAGGCAGAGCGCGCGGGTGAGTCACGGGCGGAGCTGGCCTCGCTCGCTCGCTCGCTTGCTCCTCGCTGGCTCGCAGGCTCCCGCCCGCCCTCCGCCCTCTCGCCGGTTCTCCCCGCCCCTCCGCTGTCGCCGATCGCTCGCCGCCCGCTCCGGTTGCGCCCCCCGATCGTGCTCCGCTGCAGCCGCTGGAGAGTCCACTGGCGCGCAGGGCCCATGAGTGGCCGTCTGTAGCGCCTCCAGTCCGCCGTGTCCGCAGCCCGAGCGCAGCCTCGAGGTAGGAGCCCCGGTCTGGGCGGCGAGGGGTGCGCGCTCCCGGGATCCCTGTAGCCCAGACGCGCCCCGAAAGCGCCTCAGCCTTCGGGGAAAGGAGGCGCTCAAGGATCCGAGGTGGTCCCCAGCCATCCGCCTCCCCGCGGAGTGGAAAGTGGGCGGACGGGAGAGGCTGGCGGGATCAAGGAGGCTGGAAACTGGGGGAACAGGAGTGACTGGGACGACCGGAGCCGTGGACCCAGAAGGACTGGGCGTGGGGAAGTCCTGGCCCCCTGAGCATCCGCGATCGGGAGAGGCCGCGGGTGCAAGAGGGGATGCGGGAGTCTCTCCTCGCCTTCGCTCCTTAGCCCGGAGCGCGCGGCCCGCGGTCTCCCTTCTCCAAACCTTGGAGGTGGGTCACTGCATCCCAGATGGGGCGCCCAGGCCCTTCTTCGGGAGCGACTACTCCGGAGCCCAGGTGGGCCTCACTTCCCCGCCCCCTAATCCCCGGGGCAGCTCCCAGGCGCCAAGAGCTATTAGGGTCCTGGCCTCTCGGCTCCCGCCCAGCCCCTGCTGGGCCGCCCCGCCTGGGCCCGAGGCTCCATTCCTGCAGCTTCGCTCCTTTCTTGTGGTGAGGCAGCCGGAGCCTGAGTAGGCGCCCCAGTCCCCCTCTCCCGCCCTCTCCCAGACAACCTGGGCCACCTCCCCGGTCCCAGCCGCAGAAGGGGGCAGGATCCACTGGAGTCTGGCTGTGGGTGGGAAGGACAGGTCCCTGACTTGAACCAGCGCCGCCGTGTTCCTGACCATCCCAGGAACACAAACCCAGAGAAGGGGTCATTCAAGTCATAGTCTAAGGGGTGGAGAAAAAGTGGCCGGTTCTCAGTGGTTTAGGAAAGAGGAACCCAGCCAGACCCATTCACAGAGGCCCACACAGTCCCTACAGTTGAGTGAACGAAAAAGTGAATGTCTTTGTTCAACTCGCTTCTCCAAATAATGCCTCTGTTTCCTCTTTAAGAGAAGAGTAGTGGTTGGTTCCTGACTCTAGAATCACTCTGGGGGGGGGGGGGAGGAGTAGAGGGGAGCTCCTAAAAGATGGCCCTTATCTTGAATGCACCCCCATTTATATTGCCTCTTTGGGTAATTATTTTTATTCTTTTTTTTCCTTTGGGTAATTCTTCCCTTGAAAATGGGATTCCACTTTTCTTGTTGCCCTTCTCTTCACTCTGATTCTGCACCTCATCCCCATAAGGGGCTGGTCCTTGTATTTCCCTGAGCTAAGCTGGTACAGTCACTGGGGTCTTTGGCTGATCTACTTCGCAAGGGAAGCAGACCATGCTCCTCCATCTGGGTCTCCCCTAAACCGCAGGAGAGAGCCTGCTGGCACTAGTGCAGGTCAGGAGAAGGAAGGGGGCTCAACTTTGATGCCTTGGAAGAATCCCCAGAAACTGGCTCTATGACTGCACCCAGGGTAGTGAAGTGCCCGCCTGAGGGGAAGGGAGGGGGCCAGGTGGAGGAGTGGGTTTGGTGGGTTTGGCGATCCAGAAGGTGAGTGGTGGAAAGTAGTGCAATGCCCCCAGTCAGCTTCCCAAATAAAGGGGGCTTTCTTCCCCGCAAGCCGCTCTCCCTCCCAGTTACGGACAGCCAGGCCACCTCCACTGCGGTTTGGAGCTGCAGAATCTGCCTTGCTCTCCTCTGCATCCTGAGTTTGGGGAGAGGGGCATTGGTATGGGGTCAAGCAGCTGCTCCGTGGTGGGAATGCTACTGAGGCTATTAGGGCACTGGGCTGTACCACCTGACCTATAGGGTGATTGTTTTGTAACGACCCAGCGTCTACTGTCCTTCCTAATACCATCCCTCTGTCCCCACTATGCTCCTGAATACAGACAGCTTCTGTCCTGGTCCTGTGTCGACTAAGAGGCTCAGGTTCTTGGGACCCAGCCCAGCTCCCAGGATAGCCCGCTGCCATGGGAGGCAGCCCCCAGGGGAAGGCGGATGCCCTTTGCCTTCCATTTCTAGTGGGGACCTTCCCAGCATGCCCACCTCCCTTAATCCATCTTCAGCCCCCACCCACAGGTGCATCCTGTCCACCCAGGCAAGCACCTGGCTGAGGATGGAACTGGAGCTGCTTGTCCTCTCACGTCATTTATTTGTTTCCTTTAGGTCCCACCTGAGGTGTTCCTGACCGTCCCTGTCCCCCACCCCACCCCGGATCCCGGCAATGCTAACCGCTGTCTGCGGCTCTCTGGGCAGCCAGCACACGGACGCGCCTCACGCCTCGCCGCCGCGCCTCGACCTGCAGCCGCTCCAGACGTACCAGGGCCACACGAGCCCGGAGGTCGGGGACTACCCCTCCCCGCTGCAGGCTGGAGAGCTGCAGAGCCTCCCGCTCGGCCCCGAGGTGGACTTCTCACAGGGCTATGAGCTGCCGGGGACCTCCTCTCGGGTAACCTGCGAGGACCTGGAAAGCGACAGTCCTTTGGCCCCAGGACCCTTTTCCAAGCTCCTGCAGCCGGACATGTCACATCATTATGAATCGTGGTTCCGGCCGACTCACCCCGGCACTGAGGATGGCTCGTGGTGGGACCTTCATCCGGGCACCAGCTGGATGGACCTCCCCCACACTCAGGGCGCGCTGACCTCACCTGGCCACCCGGGGGCGCTCCAGGCGGGCTTGGGGGGCTACGTCGGAGACCACCAGCTCTGTGCGCCGCCGCCCCACCCCCACCCGCACCACCTCCTCCAGTCCGCGGGAGGGCAGCACCTGCTGGGGCCGCCCGACGGGGCGAAGGCCTTGGAAGCGGCCGCCCCGGAGGCGCAGGGGCTGGATTCCAGCCTGGACGGGGCGGCCAGACCCAAAGGCTCTCGGCGGTCAGTGCCCCGCAGCTCCGGCCAGACCGTCTGCCGCTGCCCCAACTGCCTGGAGGCGGAGCGACTGGGGGCTCCGTGCGGGCCCGACGGAGGCAAGAAGAAGCATTTGCACAACTGCCACATCCCGGGCTGCGGGAAGGCCTACGCCAAGACGTCGCACCTGAAGGCGCACCTGCGCTGGCACAGCGGCGACCGTCCCTTCGTGTGCAACTGGCTCTTCTGCGGCAAGCGCTTCACGCGCTCCGACGAGCTGCAGCGCCACCTCCAGACGCACACCGGCACCAAGAAGTTCCCGTGCGCCGTCTGCAGCCGGGTCTTCATGCGCAGCGACCACCTGGCCAAGCACATGAAGACCCACGAGGGCGCCAAAGAGGAGGCGGCGGCGGCCGCGGCGGCGGGCGAGGGCAAGACGGGCGGAGCGGTGGAGCCCCCCGGGGCCAAAGGCAAGCGGGAGGCCGAGGGCAGCGCGGCCCCCTCCAACTGAGCTCCCCCCTGGCTCCCAACCTCCCCGCCGGCCGCCGTCCCGAGGGTGGGGATGGCTGGAGCAGAGGAGACGCCGCCGGTTATTTATTGACGGGGAGGAAGCTCGGTGCGGTGCCGGGGAGGGCCGCTCGCGGAGGTGGGTGGGGGGTGGACGGGACCGTGGGAGCTGCGCACGCCCCCTCCTCTAGGTCGCGGGCTGGTGGGTGGGCTGGGGGGCCCGGCGCGCGGCCGGAGGAGGAGACAGCGCGTCCCGGAGCAGAGCGGAGTGCCCCCCCACCCCACCCCGGGGCGCCGGGGGTAGCTGTCTGGACTCGCCCTTAGCGCCTGGGAACCCCGACATAAAAGCGCCTCGGGAGCCGCCCCGTGGCCTGCGCCCCTTTCATCCCCTCCGAGTACTTCTCCCCCGGGCGCCCACTCGGTGACAGAGCTGACACGGCTTGGGGGAGACCAGGGGGTCCTCCTTAGGGAGGACGCCCCTCCAGCGAGGAGGGTGGCTGCAGGAGAACCACTCTTTGCTGGCGCCTCCTTATTAACCCTTCCAGACCCGGTCTGGTGGCGCCACGAAGGAAGAGGGGAGGCGCCCAGTCCCCCGGCAGCTTCCCTGTAAAACCGTGGGCTGGAGTAGAGAGCTCATGTAGGGGGTGAGCGGGGAAGTCCCCTTGGGAAAGGAGAAGAGGATGTGTTGGGGGCGCGGAGGGGTGGAAGGAACTCACCCCTCCCTGTCTAATTCCTATTCAGCCCTTCACTCTTGGTCATAAAAATTAAAGTTTGGGGAGTCCCTTCTCTCCATCTGTTATCCCGGGTGACTGTCAAGGCATCTATGAGCTCTAGAATTGGTGTAGTTCCCCTCACTTCCCAACATTCACCTTTGGCTAGTCTGGGGGAAGGGTCTTTGCAGAGGGAACCCCCAGTGGCTCCCTCATTTGGAGTGGAGTGGAGAAGTTAAGTCCCACCCCCCACCCTCTTCTCCCTCCCCCTGCAAGCCTTGTTAGCCAGTTAGGAGCCTCCTTCTTCCCCAGATTCCTTTCTGGGCCTGGGCTCAGGGTCTGACGCACCCCTTCCTGGAAGGAGCTGTTCTCCCATCGGAAAGGGTTTGCCCTGGAAGCTCTCTGCTCCTTCTGTAGATACTAGAAGTTTAAAACTGATCTCCCTCATGGAGTGGGGAGGGGAGGAGGCTGAGCTGGGTGAGGGTCTGGTTGGCGTGGGACCCTGGAGCCGTGGGCTGGGGGGCGTTGGCGGGCTCAAGGGAGAGGCCCAGAGAGCCCCTCTGGGCCCCCTGGCCCTCTCTCTCCACCTAGAACCCTAGTCAAGGTTTAGTTGTGTATTGATTGTTAAGTTATAAGCAAAGGGTATTTTATTTAATATTAGGGCGTGTGTGTGTATATGTGTGTGTGTGTGGTGTGGAACTGTGTGTGGTGTGTGTATGCGTGTTTCTCTACTGAGCCTGGGGGTCTCCATCCAGGGAGACCCCATCTTGTTCACCCTGTGCAAGGTCTGGGGTCTAGACCCCCAGTGTCTCTTCCTCCCTGGGGAATGGTAGAGCCCAGTTCAAGGATGAGGAGCAGCTCTGTGGGAAGTGGGGAGTGTGTGTTGGTGAGAAGGGGGCCCTTCTTGAGGGGGAGGCTCTCCCCCTTTAAGAAGTAGAGGCCTTTCCCATGCTCCCTCTTTTCCTTTCCTGGCCCGAGAGTTGGGACAGTGTCTGTGAATGGCCAGGCAGTGGGGAGGGAGCGGGAGGGCATGGTGGGCACAGACTTCTCTCCTCCCACTGAAACTAGCCCATCCCTCCCATCCCTTCCATCCCTCCCTGGCGCCACCAGGCCAGCCTTTCCCCAAGACCATCTGGAGGGGGGTTGGTGGCAGGGAGGCCTGGAATGCTGAGGTGTGCAGGTGAGGGCTTGGGGTTGGTGTTCTGTTCCCCCCCCTTCTAGATCTAGGTTGCCTGGCTGTGTGCCCCCTTGGCAGCGGCCCCCTAGAGGAGAAATGTAGGATTTTTTTTTTTCTGTAACTGCTGTGAACCCACTTTGGGGGGTGGGGGGAGAGGAGGAAGAAACATCCTGTGTTTTTTATGCCACAATAAAGTCATCAGCCACTGCACTGCTTCGTTTGTCTTCCAGAGCGCGTGGGGTTTCCTTTTTGACTCAGTGTCCCCAGCAGGCAGTGAGGGCAGGTTGGCTTCGGGCTGGGCAGACACTTCCCTTTGATCTGCTGCCCTGACAACCGCAGTTCCTGAGCATTTGGGGTGCTTGGTTTTGGAGTATGGAAGGGTCCTGTCCTGCCCTGAGGGGCTGGTGCTGGGGGGGGGAGGAGCTCCCTGGGGTGGGGGTGTGGTCTTCACCTGTGGGGATGAGAAGGTTCCAGATACTTCCTTCCTCCTCCACACACCAACCTCCTCCCTGCCCTCTCCTGCCAAGAACGAGGTTCCCGCCTTCCAGCAGAGAGTCAGCCTCTGGGCCCCGCACCCCACCCGCCCTGGCACCCCATGGGGGTGTGTGTGTGCGTGTCAATCGGTCCCTCTGGCTGGGAGCGAGGTGGGGGTGACTGACAGCGATTTCTTCACCCAGGACGATTGCTATCAGGGACAAGGCGATGAAAGGCAGCCACGCTATCTGATGGGCTCCCGCCCAGCTGGAACGTCTGAGAGGAAGGTTCCTCCAGCGACTCCAGCCAGGGAACAGCCAGTGACACAACCGCACCACGCAGGGCACCCACGCTGGGCCCGGTGGCGCCCTCCCCTCTGTGCGAACACCCGCCTGTGCCCGCTTTCCCAGGCAGCCGGGCCTGGTTGATGGCAGAGAGTGGAAATCTCAGGGCTCCAGCACCCCAAAGCTAGGAAGGGGGCACTGAGGTCTCGAACCCAGGGACGGCAGAAGGAAATGTGTTCTTCTAACTGTCCCTTCTACACTTGGGCCCAACGGACTCTCCACAGTGGTTCCCACATCTCTCACTCCCTACCTGCCTCCCTGTCCAAAGCCACATCTGGGCCTCAGGTGGGACAGTTCTCTCACTGATTTGGGGCAGTCGGGGGTCACGATGTTGAAGGCTGCCTTGGCATGGGGTCCTCAGACATCAAGGTGGTTTAGGGGATAGAGGGGAAACCAGACTGGAGGGTGAAGGAGCAATGGTTAGTTTCTCTTTATTCTTGGATTCGAGAGCCTGGCAGGAGGGACAGACACCGCATTCCCTGACAACCTCGTGCCCACCCTACTCTTGGGGCCCTTTCTTTTGTCTTCCTGGTTCTGGAGGCTTTGGACCCCAGGAGGCTGGAGAGTTATCCCTGGGTTAGGAGGGCAGCTGTATGGCCTGCTGGGCCTGTCTGGGCAGGGCCCCGCCTCCCTTCTTCCCCTCGCAGCTCCTCCCGCTGACCTGCATTCTTAGCGGGGGCCTTTGCTGACAGCAATGCTGCCCGCCTGGCCTCTCCCCCCCCCCCCCCCGCATCCCCCACACCCCCTCTCAAATCTCATGGAGCCCAGGGCCACCTCTGAACCCTCAGATCTAGTGCCCCTGGCGGGACCAGTCTGGAAGGGACCAGGTGGGAGTTAGGGAAATCCGAGCATCTGAGCTGACCCTCCGGGTGACCTTTCTACCGAGCTGCCCCCTCCACTCCTGGGGAGTGGGGTAAAGTCGGCCTGGGTTGGGTGAGCGCAGTCCAGAATGGGAAAGTTGGAGAGGAAGTTGGAGAGGTGCGGGCCACCTGGGAACGCGGCCTCCCTCGGCGCCTCTCCCGCCCCCAGTGGACAGTTGCAGAAGTGCAGGAGATGCACTTTAGGCAGGCCACTTGAGCATTGAAGTTCTGTCCAGCCACCAATAATCCCCCTCTCCTTCCCATTGACCTTAGTGATCTGGGGCTCGGCATCTAGCAGTGTCGGTCTGCAAAGAATCCTAGGAACCAAATCGTCCATCTGTTTTTACCCAGTAGAAGCCATACTAGAACCACCCACGGACTTTTCCAAAATATGCCCATTTTCCCGCCACCCACAATGGTGTTATGCCCCTTGAGAGTGGATTAAAGCAGCCTGCTTTGCACCCAGGGGTCTCGTTAACATGCTGGTTCAGATTCAGTGTGTGTGTGTGTGGGGGGGGCAGCCCATGAGCTCTGCACTCTTAACTGGGGATGATGCTGAGGGCTACTTGCTCCCCGCTATGCTGGGGAGGAGGGGATGACCAGGTGCTTGGGTTAGAATCTGGCTTTTTTTTCTTTTTGGGTCACACCTGGCGATGCACCGGGGTTACTCCTGGCTCATGCACTCAGGAATTACTCCTTGTGGTGCTCGGGGGACCATATGGGATGCTGGGAATTGAACCCGGGTCGGCCAAGTGCAAGGCAAACGCCCTACCTGCTGTGCTATTGCTCCAGCCCCAGAATCCAGCTTTTTTGATTCAAATAATGTGCACATCCCAATTGAGTCATTTCTCCTGTCTCTAAAAAAGGGGATGGAGATAAGGGATCTTTAGCAGTGATCAGCAGGCCCAGGGGTCCTTCCGTGCTATTTTCAGTCAACCAGTCCTATTCACTGTAAAGACCTGAGGATGGGAGGTAGGGAGTCACTCCAGGACCACACCTAGATTCTACAATTTTAACAATTTTCAAGAGTCAGAGACATGTAGCTCAGTGGTAGAGCAAATGTCTCACATGTATGAGGCCCTGGGTTCCATCCCTGATGCTGTGGGGGGAGGCGATGCTGATGCTGGCAGTCTAAAACACTTTGGAAGAATACTGAACTTTATCATGTTGTGGAACAGAGAGTGCAGGGGTAAAGTTCTTGCCTTACATGTGACTGACCATAGCACTACAAATGGTTCCTGAAGCATACTCAGTGTAGAGCCAGAAGAGCCCATGCACACCATCAAACATGGCCCCAACCCCTCCCGCTTAAATCATATTGTGTTCTGGAGGCAGGGATGTGGCTCGGTGTTAGAGTGCTTGCCCCACATATGTGAGGCCCTGGCATCATCTGTCCCTGGCATTGAAATTCAGGCCTGGTTGGTCAAGGATTGCCAACGGGGCCCAATGAGCCTCCTGAGCATCATTTGGAAGACCCCCTCAAAAAAAAAGTATGTACCTCATGGTGTTTCACTAATAAAATAAATAAATAAAAAGTATTATGTTATGTGACAGAAGTTGTTTAGTTGAGGGACTGAAGAGATAGAACAGCAGGGAAGGCACTTACTGAAGGTCACTGATCTAGTCCGGAGCCTTCATTTGGCTGCTGGGAAAACAGAGTCCTTGAAGGGAAAGTGATCTGCCCAAAGAGATCCATCAGATCCACAGGAGATGCGAGATGGGACGCCATCTGCAGAGCTCCGGGTAACCCGTCCCCTGCCTCTAACCCAGCTCCCTGCCATTCTCTGCACATGGCGGTGCCCTTGAGAAGAAGAGAAGCCCTGTTTCCTGGAGAAAGCTGACTCTGCTTGGGAACCAGCCTCAATGATCTAAAGGCAGTTGGGATTGAGTTCAAACTTCCCTTCTCCCTCTGGCAGATTTTCTCCCGCCAGCACCCAGAATGCTGCCCACAGTGGCCTCTGTCTTTCTTCCAGCCCACAGTTTGGATGCCATAGCCTAGGCTTGGAGTGCCCGCCTGGATGGGGGGTGGGGTGGGGTGGGGTGGGGTTTGCAGGCCATTATCTTGCAGGGGTCTCCTCCCTCCTCTGCCTGAAGCCAAAGGATGAAAAGGTGTGAGATGGAAAGGATCCTTTTTAAGAAGCCTGGAAATAAGAAACTTGGGGATAGCAGGGGTACATATCTCCCAGATGTGCAGCCTCCTCCCCCGCTTTGACCAAGATTTTGTCTTTGTTGTTTCAGTTTTCACTCGATGGTGGGGGAATGTCCAGTCCACAGACCCTTGTAAAATCCTGGGGTTTGGACTTGGTACAGGACGGGACACACAGGCTTCTCTTCTGCCCACAGCCTGTCTGCCTTGTTGCATGGCCTGTGAATGTTATAAATATCCAAATAGTCCTTGGCAGAAAAAAAAGTTTCCCATTCCAACTCCATGGAAAGGTGCCAAATCTTTGGACCAGAAATTTTAAGATCTGGGGCAGGGAAATAGTTATAGACTTGTAACTACAGATTTGGGGGCCCCAACGCCATATGGTCCCAGCAATATATGGCCCCAATGCACCACTGGGGTGACCCAGGTGCCCCTGACACTGCAGCACCGCATCCTTGGACCCTTCTATTGAACTTCAGGTGTGGTTGGTTAGCCGAAAATTTCCAACGGGGTACAATGAGCCTCCTGAGTACCATTTGAGAGCTCCCTGAAAGAAAGAAATTTCCAAATTTTCTTTCAAAGCTATCTTCCTGGGTGGGGGATATGACTCAGGTGGTAGGAAGTGCATGCCTGGGCTGGGGAGAAAGCCCAGGGGGCTCTTCTTTGCATGTGGGAGGCTGGGTTTGATCCCAACCTCCTCACAGTGCCCTTAACTTGCCATGGGAGCAACCCCCTGAGAAACAAGCTGGGAGTGGCCCCTGAAAACCACTGGTAAGGCTTCAAAACAAGGCATAAAAAAAAAGGCTTAGCATGTGGGATGACTCAAATTTGATCCCCTGTACTACATGACAGGGGATCAACCCCCTACCCCAGTCCTGCCAAGTGTGGCCCGTGCACAAATATATAAAACTCACAGCCACCTCCTATCAGTGTGAGCACTGTGAGGGCAGAATAGCCTTTTTTCGTGGGGAGTCAAATGAGCTTTGGGCATTTGCATATCTTTTGTGGGAATGGTTTAAGCTATACCCAATAATGTTCAGGGGCTACTCCTAGCTGTCCTTGGGGGAATCATATGTGGTGCTAGGGACCAAACTGGGGTCCACTGCAGGCAAGGGAAGCTCCTTAAACTTGGTATTGTTTTGTTTTTGCTTTGGGGGGAGTGGTCACACCAGGTGCTACTCAGGGTTTACCCCTGGGTACCAAGGATCAAGACACGATGAGCTACATGCAAGGTAAGACCCCTTTGCTATCTCTCTGGTCCCTCAGATACTTTTTGGGGGTGCAAAATGAGCTTGTGCTCAGGGCTAATTCCTGGCTATGTACTTGGGTATCGCTCCTTGCAGGCGTAGGGTACCATAAGGGTGCTGAAGATTGAACTCGGCTGGCTGCGTGCAAGGCAAGTGCTTTGCCCAATGTCCTATCATTCTGACCCCCTCACATATATTTTATTTGTTTGGGGGTCAAGCCCGGCAATGTTCAGGAGTTACTCCTGGCTCCACATTCAGGAATCACCCTTGCCAGTTCTGGGAGGGCCATATGGGATACTAGGGTCAAACTCAGGTTGGCCACGGGCTAGCAAAATGCCCTCCCTGCTTTACTGTCACTGAAATCCCTTCAGATATCTTTCTAAGGTTGCATTCGCCTAGCTTTGAAACTGCTGGCCTAATTGGTGGAGTCTCCTTGGGATAGGGGGGCAAAAAATGCATTGGGTAGGGAGGAATATTGCAAGAGCTTAGAGCATCTACCTTGCAAGCAACTGATCATGAATTCAAATCCCTGGGGTCATATGTGCTGAGTACTATCCTGGAAGCGTTGCTATGATTCTAAACATGCGCCACAGCTGGAAGAAATGACTTCCGGCCCCACTGCAACCAGGTGTGTGTATGCACCACAAAAATGGCTGTGACACAGCGGGTAGGGCGTCTGCCTTGCAAGCGGCCGACCTGGGTTTGATTCCCAGCATACCATATGGCCCCCTGAGCACCGCCAGGAGTGATTCCTGAGTGCAGAGCAGGAGTAACGGGAGCATCGTCTGGGTGTAACCCCAAAAGAAAAAAATGGCTGTGACACCCCCCTCTGCCCCAGTGAGCACCGGAACCAAAAGATGTGGGAAGCGTTACCCCTACTCAACCGTAGTTTTCATGCCTCAAACAAGGGCACTGGCCCCAATGATCCCATGTGCAAGTACCAGTAGCTAAACACAGACCTTTATGAGTACTGTGGCCCAGTGCATGGCAGCAACCTGGTGTGGGAACCCTCCTCGAGGCCCACAGCTAGAACTGTGAGAGCATCACAACTAGGATTGTTTGCAACCCCAGTTATCGCGAGAACAGCAGCAGCAACAGGGAAGATCAGGGGAGAGGGAATTAAAATGAATTACGAGGGGTCGTAGTGACAGTACAGCAGGTAGGGCATTTGCCTTCCACGTGCAGACCCGGGATCCATCCTCTGCATCCCATATGGTCCCAGTATACCACCAAGAGTAACCCCTGTGCTTCACAGGGTGTGACTCAAAAGGCCAAAACAAGAATAAATAGGGTTGAACGATAATATAGCGGCTACGGCACTTGCCTTGGATCTTGCATGACGCTGACTTATGGATTGCTTTAATCCTCGACACCCCGAATTTTTTTTAGGGTTTGGAGGGACAGGATAGGTTAAGATCTTGTGTGTTGCACCACAATGGTCTGACTCCTGGCACCACAGATGGTCCCATAGCACTGCCACCAGTGGTCCCTGAACAAGTGGTTGCCGGTCAATGCTGCACGTGACACCGCCAAGAAAAAAAATTTAGTATAATGAAAATTAAGCTAAAATTTGCCTTAATCTGTTATCTCTACATTTCTTTGACCTGTGAACATTTTTTTGGGGGTAAAGGGGACAATGGACAATACCCTGGGGTGTTCAGGGCTTTGTGCTCTGGGATCACTCCTGGCCTTGCACCTTAACCTGTATTATGTCTTCGACCCTTTGTGCTATATATTTTTTAATAGTTACGGCAATGTGTTTACAATGGTACTGATATTTTCTTGGTATACACAGTTACCCCACCTCACCACCACCAAAGTGACCCACTTGCCTTGTGTATACCTGTTCGGGGTTCGAGCCTCGGCACCCCATGTGGTCCTCCGAGCCTACCAAGAATGATCCCTGAGCACAGAACCAGGAGTAAGCCCTGAGCACAGCCAAGTGTAGCACCCCTTCAAAAAAAAGAAAAGAAGCAAAATGCCCAAGACCTCTTCCCCTCGCCCCCTGGGGCCCTGTGTCACCTCCAGTCCGACTACTGTGTTCATTCCTATAGATCTTATTCCCGGAACGCGAACAGCCTAGGACTAGCCTTTGGATTCACACCAGGACACAAATAACCAAGTGCCGCAGTCCTGGCTCTCTAACAGATCAGCCCGGTTTTTCGTTTCTCCCTTTCCACTCCCTTCCACTCCCCCCGACCCCCACCACCCCCACCCCGCCGACTGTGACTCCAGAGAAGGAACCCGCGGAGCCACCCGCAGGTTTGAAAAGAGGCGCCTGCTCAGAAGGGCGGGCCGCGGGGAGGGATTGGCAAAGCCGCGCGGCGCCCACAAGTGGTGCTGGCGCGCGCCCTGGCGGAGGAGCGCGGAACTTCAGGCTCTCGGTTCCGGCTCCGCCCCCGGCCCCGCCCCGGGCAAAGGTCGCCAGGGAGCCTGCGCCCAATAGGACGTACTGGAGCCGGAGGGGAGGCGTTGGCGCCCGGGACTTTGCTGGGGGTCTAAAGGGAGAGAGGGTGAGGGGCGTGTAAATTGGGGAAGCTAGAAAGTGGGCGAGAGGAGGAGTGTGACACTGTTGGAGAAAGGTGGGCTGGGGAGGAAGGTGGTCCCCTGGCTGCACGGAAGGTTCAATTCCTCCCTGGGCAGGACGCGCGGGGCGTGCAGTTTGCACCCAACCCTGCTGACTTTTGAGCCTGGAGCTTGCGGGGAGAGTGCCTGAGCCCATTGCACAAGGCTGGAGTCTACTGTGCGTGGGGTGCTATGTGTCCAGAACCCCGTGGCGGTCGGTGTCTTCTCTGAGTTCTTTTGTACCTGCTGAGATGAGGGATTTTCTGGAACTGAGCGGGGGCGGGGATGGGGGGAGGGGCGGGGGAGAGAGGAAACCCAGGAGGGACTCACTTGTGCCCACCTCTTCCCAGATGGCATCGCCGGCCCCCGACATCCCATGCTCCTGTGACTGCTTTGTCTCGGTGCCTCCGGCCTCGGCCACGCCGGCGGTGATCTTTGCCAAGAACTCTGACCGACCTCGGGATGAGGTGCAAGAGGTGGTGTTCCTCCCAGCAGCCACTCACGCCCCAGGGAGCCGGCTCCAGGTGGGTCGGACCTCGAGGGGAGCAGAACTGTGCCGCACGCACTTCTCTTCTAGGCCCCCCTCCACTCCCCACACCTAGGAAGCCACCAGATGTACCGGAAAGAGCATGAGTTCAGAGTAGGCCATCAGGGCCTACCCTGTAGCCGCAGTGTGTGTGTGTGTGTGTGTGTGTGTGTGTGTGTGTGTGTGTGTGTGTGCGCGCGTGCGCGCACGCAGAGATCACACCTGGCAGGCTCAAGAGACCCTACGGGATGCCAGAAATCAAATCTGGGTCAGCTGCCTGCAAGGCAAGTGCCCTATACATTATACTTTCTCCCTTCTACCCCCCACTGATTTTTGTTGTTGTTTTTGGTTTTGAGGCCACAGCCAAGATGTTCAGGAGTTATTCCTGGTAGTGCTTTGGGGACCATACGTGATCCATTGGGGGAGGGATCGATTCCAGGTTGGCCAGGCAAAATGCCCAACCTGCTGTACTCTCTCCAGTGACCCACCACGGTGGAGGTGGGTCTTCTTGATCTGTCGCCGTCACCTTCTTGATCTGTACCCTCCTCTAAAATGGGAATAAGAAAACTACTCTCAAAGGGCGAGATAAGGAGACTGGCAGAGAGCCAGCACTCCTGCGGTGTTTCCCTTTCTGAGCGGACTCTCCGTTTTTTTCCCCACAGTGCACCTACATAGAAGTGGAGCAGGTACCGAAGACCCACGCTGTGATCCTGAGCCGCCCCTCTTGGCTGTGGGGGGCAGAGATGGGCGCCAACGAGCATGGGGTCTGCATTGGCAATGAAGCAGTGTGGACCAAGGAGCCTGTCCGGGAGGGGGAGGCCCTGCTGGGCATGGATCTGCTCAGGTGCGAGCCCTGCCCCATTGCCACTGCCCAGGATCAGGCTCAGCATTGATGTGGGCCACCTGCCTCAGTTCCCTGGGGCTCCTCCTTTCTGCCCACTGTGCCCTCACACCCTCATCAGGGAGGTGCTCCTGCCCCTCTTCATGGCCCCATCTAGTAAGCTAAAACAACCTGGCTTTCTCTAGGCCTCTCTGAGCCCAGGAAGAGAGTAGTACATTTGCATTCTTTTTTCTTTTGGAGGGGAAGTGGGCAGGGAAAAGGGGTTGTTTGGGATCATACCTGGCAGAGTTTAAGGTATATTCCAGACTCTGTGCTCAGGGATCACTCTTCGTGATGGTCAAGGAACCCTAGGTGGTGCTGGGAATCGAACCTGGGTCTGCCTCATGTAAGACAAGGACCTTCGTCCCCTGTACTATCTCTCTGCATTTTATTTATTTTTTGCTTTTTGGGTCACACTCAGCAATGCACAGGGGGTTACTCCTGGCTCTTCACTCAGGAATTACTCCTGGCGGTGCTCAGGGGATCATATGGGATGCTGAGAATCAAACCCGGGTCGACTGTGTGCAAGGCAAATGCCCTACCCGCTGTGCTATCGCTCCAGCCCCTATCTCTCTGTATTTTATCTCCTTCAGAAGTAAAATGTTTTGAGGGGCTGGAGAAATTGTAGGGAGAGTAGGACTCTTGCTTTGCACATAGATGATCTGGATTTGTTTCTGTTTTGAGGCCACACCTGGTGACACTCAGGGTTGCTCCTGGTTCTGTACTCAGGAATCACTCTTGGCAGTGCACAGGGGACCATATTGGTTGCTGGAAATTGAACCTGGCTTGGCCTCGTGCAAGGCCTTTCCTGCTGTGCTTTCTCTCTGGCTCCTGGATTTTGTTCCTTGAACCCCATATAGTCCCTCCAACACTGCCAGGAGTTATTCCTCAACTCAGAACCAGGAGTAAGCACTGAGCACAACTGGATGTAGCTCTCCTCCTTCACCCCATCCCCCAAAAACAAAGTAAATGTTTTTCCAATAAAATCTCATGCAGCGTTCTGATGTATCAAACTTACAGTGGCACTTGCCTTTCATGGGGCAGACCTGGATTCAGTCCCCGACATCCCAGAGCAGAACCCGAAGGAAGCTCTGAGCACTGCTGGATCTGACCCAAAATGAAACAAAGTTGAGCAGCTCTGATTGAGAACTGAGAGGGCTCAGGGTACTTCTGTCTCCCCAAGATGGCTTTGGGTCTTTTTTTTCTGGCACCCTTGAGCAGAGCCCGACAGCTGCTGGCTCAGATGTTTGTCATACCATCTGTGTTATGGCCTCAGTCCGTCCCCAACCCTCCCTGGACCTTGTCCTCTGGGGCTTCTGCCCCCATCCACATTGTGTCCTCTGCTCCTCTTTTGCCAGGCTGGCTTTGGAACGGAGCCGCTCTGCCCGGAAGGCCGTGGACGTGATCACTGGTTTGCTGGAGTGCTACGGACAGGGTGGCAGCTGCCGGGAGGACCCCACACCCTTCTCCTACCACAACACTTTCCTGCTGGCAGACCGGACAGAGGCATGGGTGCTGGAGACAGCAGGGAGGCTTTGGGCTGCCCAGAGGATTCAGGGTGAGAATCTGCGTCTCCACGGGTGACCCCAGGGCAGCCCTGGACTCCCTGGTGATCAGATCTCCCGTTTCATCTCCCAGCCCTATTCTCAGGGATAGGGCTGACACTTCCACTGACACTACACCTGATCCCCACTGTATGCACTTGCCACAGATCACTGTCACTGTCACTGTCCTCCCGTTGTTCATTGATTTGCTCGAACGGGCCCAGTAACGTCTCCATTGTGAGACTTGTTGCTGTGTTTGGCATACCTAATACGTCACGGGGAGCTTGCCAGGCTTTGCTGTGCGGACGAGATACTCTCGGTAGCTTGCCTGGCTCTCCGAGAGGGGAAGAGGAATCAAACCCGGCTCAGCCGCTTTGGCTGCGCGCAAGGCAAATGCCCTACTACTGTGCCATTGCTCCAGCCCACCACAGATCAGATGAATTTTTTTTTTAATTTATTTATTTTTGGGAGGGGTCACACCTGGCGATGCACAGGGGTTACTCTTGGCTCTACACTCAGGAATCACCCCTGGCGGTGCTCAGGGGACCATATGGGATGCCGGTAATCGAACCGAGGTCAGCCGCGTGCAAGGCAAACGCCCTACCCACTGTTCTATCACTCCAGCCCCAGATCAGGCTCCCATTTATTTCTGTCATCCTTTTGTCTGTCTTCCGTGACAGGGTGTTGTGTGTGTGTGTGTGTGTGTGTGTGTGTGTGTGTATCTGTATCTATTGACGGTTGTCCCTCGCTGCGTGCCCAGCACAGAACAGTGCTGGATAAGTCAGTGACTCCCGTCTCCTCCACAGAGGGGGCCCGAAACCTCTCCAACCAGCTGAGCATTGGCACAGACGTCTCTGCCGAGCACCCCGAGCTGCGGCCTCATGCGCAGGCCCAGGGCTGGTGGGGTGGGCAGGGCACCTTTGACTTCGCCCAGGTCTTCTCGCTGACCCAGCAGCCAGTGCGCATGGAGGCCGCCAAGGCCCGCTTCCAGGCCGGCCGGGAGCTGCTGCGGCAACAGCAGGGTGAGTAAGCGGGCAGGCCAGGCCACCTCCTCCCATCACTTTCAGTGGCCGAGGGCTCCTCACCCCACTTCTCATTGCAGGTGCCATTACGGCAGAGGTGATGATGGACATCCTCAGGAACAAGGAGAGCGGCATCTGCATGGATTCCGGTGGCTTCCGCACCATGGCCAGCATGGTGTCCGTGCTTCCCCGGGACCCCGCCCTGCCCTGCGTCCACTTCCTCACTGCCACGCCCGACCCTTCCCGGTGAGAGAGATTGGAAGCCTCAGTCCTTCTCGCTGTGCTCCCTTAATTTTTGTGAGGGACACACTCAGCAGTGCTCAGGGGCTTTTCCTGGCTCTGTGTTTGGGGAGTGGCCCCAGGCGGTGCGTGGGGGACCAGCTGGTGCCAGGGATCAAGCTGGAGTGGCCAGGCAAGTGCCCTAACCCTGGCACTCTCTGTGTCCCGCCCCACCTCCTGCGCCCCTTTAGGTCAGTGTTCAAACCTTTCATCTTTGGGATGGGGGCGGCCCAAGCTCCCCAGGTGCTGTCCCCCACTTTTGGAGCACAGGATCCTGTGCGGAGCCTGCCCCGGTTCCAGACTCAGGTGGATCGTCGCCACCCCCTGTACCGTGGGCACCAGGTGGCGCTGGGGCTTATGGAGAGTGAGCAGGTAATGTGTGTGTGTGTGTGTGTGTGTGTGTGTGTGTGTGTATGTGTGTGTGTGTGTGCGTGCACGTGCGTGTATGCATTTGTATGTGCGTGTGTACATGTGTGCATGTGCATGTGTGCCTGTATGTGTGTCTGTGTCCTCCTCCCACTTCCTGTGAGGGCCCTAGGGCTGGAGGAGACTCTCCTGGGCAAGTCAGCTGCTCTTTGCTCTACTTGTGTGTGTATTGGTGGATGTGGTGTGTTCCCCCCTTCCTCGGGAGGGCACCCCATTCCAGGGCCGCCTCTCTATCATTCCCGGGCAGGATCAGGGGCAGCGGCTTCGGCAGCGGCAGCAGGATCTGGAGCGGGAAGGCCTGGAGGCTGTGCGAAGGTTGCTGGCTGGGGAGGGACCCCCACCTGCCGAGGAGCTGGGGGGCCTCTTCCAGGCCTTCGTGGAGAGGGAGAGCCAGGCATATGCCTGAGGCACTGCCTGTGGGGGGAGGTAGAGGGGGGTCCCAGGAGCTGTGCCATCCTTTCCACCTGTCAATCTTGTCCTCAGTGGTTGTTTGGACCTTTATCTTAATAAATGTTTTACTTCCCTGCTTAGTGGCCTTGGGGGGAGGGGAAGTCTGGGGGACTGGCAGATGAGGGGCGAAGGGCAGCCCAGAGCTGGCTGAGGGGCCTCTGGTTGTTTTGCTGCAGGCAGACTCTTCTGCCTTCTGTTATGGGCGGTGGCCTCCTGGGGTGCAGGGAAGGTCATGCCTCGAACACTCATAACTGTGGTTCTGGGACAACGAACAGCACAGGTGTTTGGTTTGAAAGTGGGAGGAAGTGAGCTGGCCTTCTCTCCAAGGAGACCCACTTTCCCCTCACCAAGGTTGGGAGTCAATGTATGAGACCCTTGAGCCTATTTTTATTTTGTGGTTTGGGGACTGTCAGTATCCAGGGCTTACTCCTGGCTCTGTGCTCAGGGGTCATTCCTGGCAGTGCTTGGAGGACCATATGGGGTGCCGGGAATTGAAACCAGGTCAGCTGTGTATGAGGCAAGCGCATTGGCCACTCTGAACTGGTTCTTGAGAATGGACCGCTCTGGGTTCTCCCAGCTGTTCCTCAGGGGCCTGTATCTGTACTCTCCCAAGAGTCCCAGCAAATGACCTGGAAGCTGCAGTTAGGCCTTGGGACACTTTATTGGAGACACAGGGAAAGGCTTGGAGAAGCAGGAGAGCCCTCCCCACACATACTCATTCCTCACCCCTGCCGACTAGCTGAGTTAGAGTGCTCTTCATCTCTTGCTCCGGGTCAGCATTTTACTGAGGCTGGAGAAGACGCCCCGCTGGAAAGGCCTTGGGGCCTGAAGCTGCTCGGGATCCCCCCTTCCTGGCCTGCTCAGAGCTGGGCTGGTTCCGGGGTCGCTGGCTGCTGCGCCTCCGGCTGGAGGTGGCTGGGGACACAGAGGAAGGCTCTGGGGCCATCGTCTCCTGCCCTCTGTCTGGAGCGACAGCAGCGTTGTCTTGGTCAGCTGGGGGCCCGGGGAGCAGTGGAGGGAGGTTGGTGAGGACTGGCTGAGTGTCCATCCGCAGCTGGTGCTCCATCAGGGCCTCCCGCTCCCTGCGCTCCCGATGCTTGGCCAGCTCCTGCTCCAGCTCCCTGAAGAAGCCTGCAGAGGGCAGATGGGAGCTCTAGGGGGCCGCCCGCAGTAGGGCAGGGAGAGGAGCCCATGGTCTGGCAGCCCTGTCCTGCTGTGTGGTCCAGGCACTGCTCTGGGCTTGAGGCCCCTCCTCAGACATCATGGTCAGTTCAGCTCCCCACACCCCCCAATTTTGTTCCCTCATACCCCCCAGTTCAGCTTCCCCACCACCACCCCCAGGTCTGGGTGGGCTGCAGGAGTTTGCCAGCCTTGGGGAGCGAGGTCACCTCGCTCAGTGCAGAAGGGGCCAATCAGCTCCGGAAACTCCTGGTCGTCTTTGTTGCCATCCTCCTCCTCTGAGTTTCCGTCCTCATCATCCGAGACCCAGCGCTCCATGATCCGCTGACCATCCAGGTCCAGGAGCAGCGGCAGGGCTCGAACCAGCTGCTTCCTGCCGGGCGGGTCAGGGGAGTGCTCCTGGGGGTGCTGCTGGACAGCGCAGATTCTGCGAAAGGGCTAAGGGCTGGATCCTCATGGAGGTGGGATGGGAGGGAAGCAGGGGCTGCCTGGAGCTGGGCTGGGGGAGAAGGTGCTATGGAGGACGACCCCAGGTTTGTTTGGGGTTCACACCCAGTGGTGCTCAAGGGCCACGCCTGACTCTGCTGGGGGGAGAATTGCTCCCAGACCTCACAGGCAAAGCACACACTCAGTCCAATGAGCTTTTCAGCCCCTGTTTTGTTTTGGTGGTTTGGGGCCACACCCCCAGTGCTCAGGGGCTACTCCCAACCCATTGCTCAGGGTTGCTCCTGGTGGGACTCAGGGGACCATGTAGTGCCAGCGATTGAACCTGGGCATTCCAGCTAAGCAAAGCTTATGGCTCAGCCTGTAGAGCCATCCCTGCCCCTAGGTTTCCGCGCTGAGAGGGACTCCCATGGAACCAAGGAGGAGGTCAGCCGCCACCCTCCAGCACTTCCTCACCTGTAACCATCCTGGTTGGTGCAGCCATTTCCTATCAGGTTGAGGATGAGCAGACTCTGCGGGAACTCATCTGCACACATCAGGCAGAGGGATTAGGGTGCTCAGACCCTCTTCTGGCTCAGAGCCGAGGCCTCTGCATAGCCCCTGTGCCCCCCAGCAGGGGAGGTGCTGGGGCAGAGGAGACCCATTCCCCGACCAGGTGGGGGGGGGGGCCTTCCTACCTAACTGCAGTGTATCTATCTGATTCTCAGAAAGATCCAAAAACTGGAGGTGTGGGAGGTCACGGAGGTTTTCCACCTGCTTGATGAGGTTTCCTGACAGAGACAGGAAGCTGCAGGGGGAAGGAGAGGACGGGCACAGAGTGAGTCCCAGATCAGCAGGAAGAAGGGAAGCGGGCTCTGTCTGTGCTTGGGGGTGGGCGGGATGTCAGCGGGGTGGGGTGCCTGCCTAAGCAGCTGGGGAGACATGGTTTTTGGGGGTGAGGGAAGCAGAGCTTGTCTGGCTGGGTCCTCAGGTGACAAGAAGCCACGTTCAAGAGTAGTAGCGGTCAGGGCAATAGGTTCTTCGGGAGGTGTCCCAGGTTCCCCTCATCCGCCTGGACCCTGGTGCCACATACCGCAAAGAAGGGATGCAGCCAAGGTTCTCAATTCGCTGGATCTTATTCTGCAGAAAGACACCAAGGGGAGATCACCAGGGGCAGGGCTCTTAAAGGAGCCTTGCCTAGCAATCCTGTCTCTTGAGACTGGAGATATGGCATGTGGGGCACGATCATCCCACTCCTTGACCTGTTTGTTACCACAATATGGGATGATTTGCTTTCTTTAGGTAAGGCTACTGAGTGTACACAGGGTAGGGGGGCTAACGAAAGAACTCTGCACTCCTGGGTGGGGGGGACTTCAAGAACCTTAGGGGTCCAAAGAAAGGGAACAAGCCTTGAAGTGACTTACTTCCACAGAGGGAACCGTGAATATATATTATTTAGATTTGTGAAATCTCTGTGGATAAGGTTAAGGGCTCTGGGGTTACTAAACTGGGGTGGGGGGAATGGAAGACCACTCACTAGCTCCTCCTTCACTAAACTTCTTTCAGAAATCATTTTGGGGGGCCTATGCCCAGCAATGTTCAGGGGTAACTCCTGGCTCTGCACTCAGGAATTATTCTTGACAGGGCTCAGGGGACCATATGGGATGCCGGGGACTTGGGTGAGCCGCATGCAAAGCAAGCACCCCACCCACTGTACTATCGTTTCAGCTCCAGGAATCAGAGTTTTGGTTTGAAGGCTACATATGAAAGCACTTGAGAGTTGCTCTTGTCAGTGTTGGGGGGGTCATGCGGTGCTGGGAATTGAACATGCAAAGCTCATACATGCAAAGCAAAGCATGCACTCTATACCGTTTAGCTATCTTTCTAGTCCTAGGAATCATCTTAGTTCACTTTTTCAGAGCAGGAAATGTGCTTCCTATTTAACATGAGGGATTGATGTAGACCCCAAGGACTTCTAGATCAAGAGTAGTGTCTGATGTAAACACGAATTCCAAAACATGCAGAGTCCCTTTTGGGAGAACTGCTCTTTCAACTCAGAAGTCCTGATTCATCTGGGAGTAGATGAAATGAAGCTCTATAGCCCAAACTTCATGGACCGGGCTGGCTCCTTTGAGAGTAGAGGGACTTGATTCACAGCGGGGCAGAGGGCAAGACAGGGCAGGGACAGAAGTTACCCCTTGCAGATAGAGGCTGTGAAGATTCTGGAGGCTCTCCAGGTTCGTGATAGTGGTAATCCCCTCCCGGTCTAGGCGAACAGTCTGCAGATCAGCCAGGCTTTGGAATCTGGGGGAAAGGCCAGCAAGGTGGTATAATGGAATGCCCAAGTCTCTCATCAGGGAAGATGGGAGGTGGGAGGGTAAATGTGGGTGATTAAGTGATCAGATGTCAGAAACAACTTTTGATTCATGATGTGACGTTCAGACCATGAAAATAGGTTGACTTGGAGCCCCGGGTCTCTGAAGCTCTGGGAACAGTTCAGTATGAGAGAAGGAATAAAGGCATTTGGAGTAGGACACTGAGTGCTGCTGGCATATGATTTCTGGAGAGACTCAGAGGCCCAAGAGCCTTCTGCAGGCCAGTGTGGATGGTGAAGGTATGGGACTGGAACAGGAGTGGACAGAGATGAATCTCTATAAGCGAATCCACTCTTACCTACCTCTGCTGTGGTCCATGGAGGGAAAGTCACTTGTTCCATTCACTTACTTGTTAATTCCACAACCTTTGCCAAGAGCCTACTAGAGAAAAATGGTAGAGTCCCCACCGTCCCTACCAGTGAAGCAGGTGAAACAAATGGCTGGCACAGGCAAGGACTAAAAAAAGTATATGTGGTCAGTGTACCAAGTCCAGATCAGGAGACTCAGAATGGTTCCTGGACATGACAGATGAAAAAGAGTTAACCAGAAAGGTGAGAGGGAATTTCAAGCAGAGGGAATAATATATGCTAATCAAGCTTTTCTTGAACATGTGGTGTGTGTGTGTGTGTGAGAGAGAGGGAGAGAGAAAGAGAGAGAGAGAGAAAGAAGAGGGGGGAGAGGGAGTGTATGGGTCTTGTTTAAATGCATATTCTAATTCAGGTAAGGCACAGGCCTGGGACTCTTGATTATTAGAAGCTCCCAGAAGATGCTAGTGGTGTAGTCTCTCCAGCCCTAGCACCACTCCAAACAGCAAGGTGCTAAGGCATGAGAACGTGGGTATTAGAAGAATTGCATATTTGTGGAGAGTGGCAATAAGTAGGCCTGAAAGCTTATCAAAGAGCAACTCATGCTAAAGCATTTGGTTTTTATTCTGGAGCTACTGAGGGGCCAAGAAAGGGGCCATCGATAATGTCTGATAAGACTTGTCATGTAAATAACTCTGGAGGCAACAGTATGAGAAGCCTGGATGGGGCACAGGAAGATTTATTAGGAGTTTGTTAGAGGAACTAAGAGCTATATCTAAAACATTTAAATGAGCGTGGTGGAAAAGAAGAAAAATGAGTTTTGAGAAGGGTAAATCAATTGCACCTGACCACTGACTGTATTGTGGAGTAAATAAAGAAACAAAAATGAGATGACAAATCAGCAGAGTTCATAGGACTGGTCATCCTAGGTGTTTCTATCTTTGAGCACCCACTTCCTCCCACATGAACTCACATCTTCTCTGACAGATCCTCATCCTCAGGGAAGGACAAATTGCGCCTAATGATTAGGGCTTCTGTAATGCACACGCCACTTTCCTCTGAACTCTGAGAAGATTCATCTGTTAAAAAAGACGAGTTGCTGCGTTTCCTTATTCTTGGGGCCTGCCCACCCATCTGTTCTACCTCCATCCCACCAACCTACTCACCTCCAGGCATCATCACAGGCTGGTGGGGACAGAGGGGATTGGAATCAAGAGGAGCCCTTGGACAAGCCCTAGGGACGGCTAAATGCAGGATGGTGTGAAGCGAAAGAAGCTCAGAAGGAGGGGAACAAGGGAAAGGGTTTGATACAGAGCAAATCGCTGTGGGTGGGATGGAAGAAAAAATGAAAGAGCGGGGTCTGGAGACTGAAGGGTGTAGAGAGACTTTGCCGGCTGCAAACCGGGAGACTGTGGATATAAGTTCGCGTGTGTGTGTTTGTGTGTTAGTATGCGTGGGTGTAGAGAGAAAAAAGCCGTTGCTAGGACGCTGGCGTCGTTGCCTGGAGACCAGGGGGCGGGCTCGGCGCGTGCGGATTGCGGTCCAATGGGCGGCTCCGCCCACTGCTTCCGGCTCCAGACTTCCCACAATCCTCAGCTCCTCTCGTCTCGCCCGCCTCCCGACCCTTCTTCCGGTCGCGATGGCTGCGCCCATGGCTGGGATGCTGCGAGGGGGTCTCCTGCCCCAGGCGGGTAAGGGGTGGCCCAGGCTTGACTGAGCGATCCGGTCGATGCTCTATAGTCCTCGTCTCCCCTTCGCCACTGTTGATCTTCACCTGTAGCCTCTGACCCCGGACAGCTCCCCTTGACCCCTGGGCACCGGCTACTTCGCCGGAGGTCTCCTTCCTCCACCTGGTGCCTTGACTCCAGCCTCTAGTAGTAATAGCAACACAGCGATAACGCCCATGACAGCCACAGTGTTTCTTTCCCGCCGTCCAGTAACCTCGCCTTGATTGAGTGTTACCCACTACCCAGCCCTTAACCCCCCTCGGTCTCCTCTGAATCCACCTTGGCATTATGCCCCTTTCTTAGGTCTAGCTAAAGGTCGTCTCCTCAGGCCTACCCCTGTTAGAACTATATTGCACCTTTTTATCGAACCTTTCGCCTGTCATCTCTGTAGGCTTTTATTTGATGTCTTATTAGAATTCATAAGGGCAGAACCATGTGAGTTGGGCATTGCCAGCGGGTGGCCTGGTAACCTGACATGCAAAATGTATTTAATGGGTCACTTCTTTTGACCATTTTTCTCATTTGCATCCTATGAGGAGTACAGATTTCCAGCAGTCGGGCAGTCGTGTGCAAACCTTAGCACATGGGGGTAGCAGCAGCAGGGTGGATGGAAACAGTTTGTGGTACCCCGTTCCTGAACTGCTGGTGCAGTTGGTCCAGGATGGGTCCTGCAAGTGTGTGGTTTCCATGAGTTTCCCGGTAATGCAGGAGTGGCTGGTTGGGTTTTGCCAGCCACTGGCTTTGATCGAGGCTTCTTAACCTTTTTCTGCTCAGGATTCCTTTTCCCAAGAGAAATGCAACATGAGTGAGCAGTTCCAGAAGTACCTTGAAATTCATTGTATGGTTCAGAAACTTTTTTACTATTGTCAATGTTGTGTAATCCCCATATTCAGTTAGGTGACCCTCATCTGCTTAAATTTTAAGAATTTAAAATTAAAATTAAACTCCCACTTAAAATTTAAGAAGCTAGAACTTAGACAAAAGTAAGCTGAAACTGGGAGGGCTGGTTACCATGCTTGTAATTTTTTGTATGTTTGTATTTTAATTATTGTTTGGACCTCACCCTGCAGTGCTCAGTGCTCACTCTGAGCCCTGGGTCATTCTTGGTGGTACTTAGGATATTGTATGGGTGCTGGGGATTGAACGTGGATCTGCTGCATATAAAGCAATTGCCTTAATCCCTGTACTATCCAAACCTGTAAATAAAGTTTTATTGCAACACAGCTAAAACTGCTTGTTTTATATTGTCTATGATTACTTTTGTGACACAATGACAGAGCTGAGTATTCTCTGCTGAGCCTAGAAGACTCTCTAATTTATTTTGTTTTGCTTTGGGTTCATACCCACCAGTACTCTCTCCAGCCCACAATGCTTTCCATTTCCTTAGCTATTTAGGAAAAAACTTTTCTCGATAAAGAGGAACCCTCTTTTTTAAAAAAATTTGTTCAGGGGTCGGGAAGGTAGTACAGTGGGTAGGACACTTGCCTTACATGTGGCTGACCCACTTTCGATTCCAGGTTCAGTTCCTGGCATACAATATGATCCACCAAGCCTGCCAGGACTTGATTTCTGAGCACAGAGCCAGGAGTAACTGAGTCTTCCCTGAGCACTGCCGGGTGTGACCCAAAAACAAACAGAAAAAAGAAGTTCAAAATACCCTTTCCTTTTTTCTCATCTCATCTTTGTTCTTAAGGAAACATGGGAAAAATAGAAACCTCAGATACTCAAGTAATTCATCCGAGGTCACACATTGAAAGAGAGGGTTCAGAACTCCTGACTCCTTGTTTCAAGTTTGTGCTGAGGAGGTGGAGGATGCTGCACAGGAGACGGGCTTTTCGTTCATCCAGGCCAACTAGATTAGGAAACTGCGTCTCACACATTCCTTTTCCTTCCAGGCCGGTTGCCCACCCTCCAGACTGTCCGCTATGGCTCCAAAGCCGTCACCCGCCACCGACGCGTGATGCACTTTGAAAGGCAGAAGCTGATGGCTGTGACGGAGTACATCCCCCCCAAACCGGCTGTCAACCCAAGATGCCTGCCACTTCCTCCTAGCCCCCCCAAGGAGGTAAGGAGGAAACTGGGCATGTCATGTCACCTGGTGCTGGGCCAGTGACGGAAATGATCCTTAGTGATTGTAGTGATGTGAACCTCCAGGGCAGAGGCCCATCCACCACAGGGGGCTGTTGGAGAGATAGCACAGCGGGCTGGGCACTTGCCTTGCATGTGACCAACCTGGGATCAATCCCCCAAATCCCGTGTCGTCCCCAGAGCACTGCCAAGAATAACCCTTGAGTATCGTCCCCAGAGCACTGCCAAGAATAACCCTTAACTGTGGCCCCGAAACCAAAAACAACAAACAAGAAGGCAATGGAGGGTGGGGGGTAGGGGGTGGAGGGGAGACAGTATGGTATGTAGAATGGTCCATGTCAATCCACATGGACTTGCCACAGTCCAGGTATCTTAAAGAACCACCTGCATTTAGCTCTGCATTGGCCTTTGGGCTTCTGAATGCACAGTCCTTCAGGATTTCTTTCACTGTTTATTTTTTTTTTTCTTGCCTGGGGTGAGTGCTAAGGAATTATTCTAGGCTTTGTCCTCAGGGATCATTCCTGGTGGTGTTTGGGGGTCTTGCTTTTTTTTTTTTTAAAGCAGTGGTGCATGCTACCTCATCCCTTCAAAGCATCTAGAAGAAAACCTGCACTGCAGCTCTTGAGGCCAATGGCAGTGTGCAGCTGAGGAACTGGACTCCTAAGTGTAGTTTATTTTAATTAATTTAAATATAATTAGCATGTGCATATGTGGCTGGTCGTTACTGTTTTGGATAGAGCAGGTTCATACTAGCAAACCTTTCTTCCCTTTGACTTGGTATCTAATAAATAGGCTAGTATGTATAGAGATGGTATGTATTCACTTGTGTATAATATTTAAGTGGATTTCTGCAGAGGTCACCTGACTCCACTGTTTAAGTGTAGTTTAGAATCTGCTGTAGTTGGAAAAAGACTTCTCTTGTGGGACCAGAGAGAGATAGTACAGGGGTGAAGGCACTTGCCTTGCATCCCTCTGACCTGGGTTCAATCCCACATATGGTCCCTTGAGCACTGCCAGGGATACCTTCTCTAAGCACAGAGTCAGGAATAGCTCCTGAGCACTGTATATGACCCCCCTCACCCCCCCAAAGAAATGACCCCCCAAAAAAGTCTCTTGGCCCAGACAGGTTCGTTTAATGGACTGGCTTGCTTGCTTTGCATGCTGAATCCCCAGAGCCATGGAAATCCCCAGAACCCAAGTACCGCCAGCAGTGGCCAGTGAGCACTGCCTCTGGAATAGACCCCAAACATTTCCAGTGTGGCTCCCAAACAAAAACAAACAAAAAACCTCATGTCAGACACTTTATGGAGGTCTTAAGTACTTTCTCTAAGTTCCAGCTTCGAGGAGCAGTCTTGTTTGTTTTGGCCTCACCTGGTGGTGCTCAAGAAACCATGTGATGCTGGAGACTGAACATGCAAAGCACACACTCCATCTCACTGAAGTGTATCTTTCGGCCTGAGAAGCAGCATCTTGTTCTGTGGAAGTACCTCCTTTTAGATTGCGCACCCAGAAGAGTTATCTTGTATCTGGGCTGTTTGTTTATTTGGTTTTTGGACCACATCTGGCAATGCTTAGCATTCAGGAATCACTTCTGGTGAGGCTTGGGGTACCATATGGGATGTTGGGAATCGAACCTAGTACTGCCATATGCAGGGCAAGTGCCCTACCTACTATACTATTGTTCGAGCCCCTGTTTTTTTGTTTTTGTTTTTGGATCAACCCAGTGGTACTTAAGAGTTACTTCTGGCTCTTCACTCAGGAATTACTCTTGATGGGCTCAGGGGACTACATGGGATGCCAGGGATCGAGCCTGGGTCGGCCACATGCAAGGCAAATACCCTACCAGCTGTACTATCACTCTGGCCCCTCCAGCCCCTGTTTTTATTTTTTATTTTGTGGATGGGGTCACACCTGCCTGACTGATCTCAAGGCTTATTCCTGGCTCTACACTAAGGAATCATACCTGGCAGGGTTGGGTGACCATTAGGTTGGCTGCTGGCAAGACAAATGCCCTTCCTGCTGTCCTATCCCTCTGGCCCCTTATCTTGTATTTGTAACTGTCAAAATAACGAGAAAAGCGTCAGAGGGAGAATTGAAGTAACTTGGCCACTACTGCAGGCAGCTAGGGCTGACTGGCTCAGGTCCTGGCCATTCTGGGGCTGGAGCCTTCCCGGGTTCGAGTCACTGCTCTGCAGCGACTGTGAGAGTAGGGGAAGGGGACACTGTCTCTCAGGGTCTGGGCCCACCCCTGCAGGGACCCTTATCTTTTCCTTTTGGGGGGCAGTCACTGGAGGCCCCAGCTGCCTCACAGGCAAGAGGCGTCCAGGGAGAAAGAGCACCTTCCCTCCCCTTGCTCACCCCCTTTGTGTCTGCAGGAGACGGGCCTTATCCGGCTCCTCCGTCGGGAGATTGAGGCACTTTTCCGCAACAACCGCATGATCGCCGTCTGCCAGAACGTGGCTATGGGGGCGGAGGACAAGCTGCTGCTCCGTCACCAGCTGCGGAAACACAAGATCCTGATGAAGGTCTACCCCAACCAGGTGGGGCGCTGCGCCCGCCTCTCCCAGGAACTAGGGTGCCCGGCTCCCCCTGCCGCCCGCCACCTGCCTGGCTGGTGCCTGGATACCTCTGAGGGGTGGAGGTGACTCCTCCCTGCCAGCCTCCCGGGACCTGGGACTGGCAGAGGGGTCTCCCCACTCACCCCAGCAATCCCTTCTGGCCTCCAGATCCTGAAGCCCTTCCTGGAGGACTCCAAGTACCGCAATCTGCTACCGCTGTTTGTGGGGCACAATCTGCTGCTGGTCAGTGAGGAGCCCAAGGTCAAGGAGATGGTCCGCATCCTGAAGGGGGTGCCCTTCCTGCCTCTGCTCGGTGAGCAGCTGGGTTGGGGGGATCAGTCACACGCATGTGGGGGGCATTTGAGGGACAGGATGTTCAAGATGCTTTTCGTCTAGCTGCGGAGATGCTTAAATAGCCCTAAGGGCCGGAGAGTGGGCTTGCCCAATCCTCTACTCGCACCTACGGCTGACTCCCCAGAGGTGCTCCTGTGGAGAATTCTGCTTTCCTTGGGCTCGGAGGTCGCAGGGAGCAGAAACTTGTGTGTGATCCCCTCTTGCATCTCCCCATACGTGCAGTTCCTCAGGAAGGTTTAGGAAACGTAGTCTTGTTGGGGTTTCAGCCAGGTAGCCAGATGGTGGGAGCGAAGCATTAAGGAGGACGGGGTAAACATGAGGGGCAGGGGCGGGGTGCAAGCAGGAGCCAGATGGGGAGTCCAGCTGGGAGATGGCACTTAGGGTTGGAGCATAGTTTCCAAAGAAGAGTCAGCCAGGGCCATGGCCCCGGAACAGAGAGCGTGCCTCCCATGGGTGAGGCCTGGGGCTTGAGCCTGGCACTGCAGAAAAGGAGACTGGCATTCTTCAGGGGTTCCAGCTGCCTCTGTGTCCCCACAGGCGGCTGCATTGATGACACCATCCTCAGCAGGCAGGGCCTTGTCAACTATGCCAAGCTTCCCAGCCTGGCCTTGGCGCAGGCGGAACTGGTGGGCAGACTCACCCACCTCATGGCCCAGACCCACACCCTGCTTCAGAACCAGCCACTGCATCTCACAGCCCTGTTGGATCAGCACGCCAGGCAGCAACCCACAGAGGACCCTGCGGGGCCAGCTGAGGGGCAGCCAGCTCCTGGCACCGGGCCGGACTCTTAGCCAGTGTACCATCACTGGCCTGGCCACTGACAGCGACCTCCTCAGACACTGGCCCCCACCTCCACATCAGAACCAAGACCTCCTCCCTGGCCATCCCGATGGGGGAGCTGATGGGAGTGGGGTCTCTTTCGGCTCAAGATCAAGACAGCAGCAATAAAGCTAGTCCCTGGCTGTGTGCGTCCCGTCCCCCGGTCCCCTGGAGTCCAACCTGCCTGTTATTCACTGTGCTTTGGTCAGCCCCCATTGGAGAACCTGTGGTGGCACTGCCCTTAGCCGTTTTCATGTCTTGTTTTCTCACCACGTTAACCTCCCTTCTCGGCAGGGAGACTGTGACAGCAGTGGAGATGTCGATACTGTGTGCCTGCCTGAGGTCAGCAGGTCGTAAGCGGTGGGCCAGAGTGGTCTGAATGAAGCCTGTGCCCTGGCTTTCTACACCAGCTCCTCAGTGTAGGGGTCCCAGGTGTGTCCGGGCGTACTCTGCCCTCAGGCTGGGCCAGGTTTGGGAAGGTTGGGGGCTCTGCTTTACAATACAATAAAATGCATTGGGCTTTTGTCTATAAGCTTCTCAGCCTGCAACTTAATCTCTTGTTCCCCTCTTATCGTGTAGACCTTGCTGTGTGTCTTGCCCGTACCTACTCCCACAAGTGACACTCTTCACACACTGATCATCTTTTGCGGGTGGGGAGGAGCAGGGTTTGGGGTTTGGGCCACACCCAGTGGTGCTCAGGGGCTATTTCAGGCTCTGTTTATGGGACACACTGGTGGTCCTTGGGGATAATATGGTGCCCCACAGGTTTTTTTTTAAAGGCTTTCCACACAGGGGCTGGAGCGATAGCACAGTGGGTAGGGCATTTGCCTTGCATGCAGCAGACCCAGGTTCAATTCCCAGCATCCCCTAAGCACTGCCAGGAGTAATTCCTGAGTGCAGAGTCAGGAGTAACTGCATTGCCGGGTGTGACCCAAAAAGCACGTACACTATACACACACTCCTGCACACACATACACCTCACATACAGCCCCACATAACTACGCACACACCTACACAACACAGCTCCACATACATCGCTACACACATATACCCCTACACGCATTTCTACACACATCTCTACACACACACACATCCCTACACTTACACATTTCCTACATTTACACACATACACGAGCCCGGATGAAGCCCTCTCATTAATATAAAAACCTGGTTCCCTTTGGTCTGGAGTAATAGCACTGCGGGTAGGGTTTGTCTTGCGTGCACCTGACCCAGGTTCAAAGGGTATGTGTGTAGGAGTGTGTTCTGTGTAGGGGTGTGTATCTGTATAGTGTATGTAGGGGTGTACGTAGTGTATGTGTGTAGGGGTGTGTAGTGTGTATGTGTATAGTGTATGTAGGGGGTGATGTGTAGGGTGTGTGTGTATAGTGTGTGGTGGGGTGTATGTGCATATAGTGTGTATAGGTGTGTATTTGTATGTAGGGGTGTGATATAGTGTGGGCATATAGGGGTGTGTATAGTGTGTGTGTAGGGATCTGTATAGTGTGTGTGTAGGGATGTGTGTAGAGGTGTATGTATAGTGTGTATATAGCGATCTATGTAGGGGTGTATGTATAGGGGGTGTATAGTGTGTGTGTAGGGGTGTGTGTATAGGGTGTGTGTGTAGGGGTGTGTATATTGTGTGTAGGGGTATGGGTGTGTGTACAGTATGTAGGGGTGTGTGTATAGTGTGGGGTGTATAGCGTGTGTAGGTGTGTATATAGGGGGTGTGTATAGTGTGTAGGGGTGTGTGTATTATGTGTAGGGGTATGGGTGTGTGTACAGTGTGTGTAGGGATGTGTGTATAGGTAGTGTATAGTGTGTGCATATAGGGGGTGTGTATAGTGTGTAGCAGTGTGTGTATTGTGTGTAGGGGTTTGGGTGTGTGTGTAGGGGCGGGTGTATAGTGTGGGGTATATAGTGTGTATTGGGTGTGTATGGCGGTGTGTATAGTATGTGTAGGGGTATGTGTGTGTAGGTGTGTGTGTGTGTATAGGGTTATGTGTGTGTGTGTGTGTGTGTGCGCGCGCTCGTGTGTGATCTGTTTCCTCGGGGGCCTGGAGCCATGCCACAGCTTCCTTCGCCCTGGGCATTTCCCACTCTGGCAGTTACCGTCTGCAGCAGCCTATCCAGGACCAGCTGTCCACAGTGCCCAGCTCGTACCCAACACCCAGAGATGCCCAATCAATGGACAGTGACTTGACTTAAGAGGCCCTTGAGGCTCCTGGATGCCAGGGCTGGTCTGGCCAGCATTGCCCAACATCCTGCCGACTTCCGATTGTGCCAGTTGCTCCCCGCCCTCCTCCTGGGGTGTAGGAGCAGTGTGGGGCTCTGAAGGGAGCAGAGAGCATGGGCAGGGTGAGCTAAGGCCCAGGTGGGTGTGTGGGGGCAGCGACCTTTCTAGAGCGGAAGAAACCTGCACTGCACCCGCCCACTGGCAGCCTCAGGCCCCACAGCTAGACTCTTCCCAGAAAGCGACTTCTCTGAGAGCTGTCAGACTTTTTCACATCAGAGTGCGTTATAGATTTTTGAAAGAGCTGATTTTTCACTAGAATCACGCAACCGGTTCGGACCCTGGGGTCAAAGTGCTCAGCCTAGGGAAGGGGACAAGGGGCTGCAGAACAGGTCCCGCCTCCCGCTGGCTCCTGCCCTGCTCCTGTGTGGCTGATCTGCCCTTCTTCCCCGGGCGCTGTCAAACCCTGGCTGCCCTGGGGGAGGATCACCCCTAATAGCTTTGATGTGGGGGTCTCTGGCCGGCCCTCTGGAGCCTTGACTTCCCTGGACCGTGCTCTTGGCTGGTCTACTGTGGTCCCCATGGGGCATCTGTTTCTTCCTCTAACCCGATACCTTTGCTGGCTGCAAATTGTGCAATCTATTTTCAGAAGTAAAATGAGAAAATGGCCTCGTGTGCTAACAACTAAGGTCAAGGCCAGGCTGCTGGAGTAAATCCTTTACCAGTGCTGGCCCGAGGCCCTCTGCTCCCGGGTTCTCAGTGATCTCGCTGGAACTCTGCCCGGCGGGGACTGTGTCCCCGTGTCCCCACTCCCAAGCCACGGCGCTGGGGAGTCCACTCAGCCCTGAGTCCTCCGGGGAGCAGGGGGGCAGAGCTGAGCGGCCGGCGCTGGCGGGAGGAGGGGCCGGGGAGGGGGAGGCAGGGAGATCCGGCTGGAGGGGAGGCTCCGACGTCGCCTTCCTTCCTGGTTCCTGCAGCAGCTGCTGCCGCTGCTCAGCCCCGCGACGAGGGAGCGGGCGACCCGGAGACTGTGACTCAGAGGCAGCGCGGCGCACGGGCCAAGGAGCACGGGGCGTCCATGGACCCTGGGGTAAGGGGGCCGGCTGGCATCAGCTGACATGCCCCGAGAGAGCTCCCTCCCACCTGAAGCTGGCAGCTCTGCCCCTCTGGGGACCGGGATCAGGAATGGAGATGCCGAGGGGGTGCCCACCTGGCTCACCTTCACCCCGCACCTTCCCACTGGGAGCCCCCCCACCCGGTGGCAGTGAGGGGTCCGGGCCCCAGGGGGCCGGGCCGAGGGCACCACAGCTCCCTAAGACTTTGGGAACTTTCAATGGCCAAATGGAGGAGTTCTCCCCCCCGCCGTCTCCCCGGGATCAGCCTCCTGCAGCAGGGGACCCCCTATCCCAATGGCCGGGCCACTGCTGCCCCTCACGCCCCTGACCCCACCTGGGCTCTGCCCCTCAGATACCTGCCAGCGCGCTGAAGGGCCGAGCGGTTTCCCAGCCTCGGGCCAACCTCGCCCCTCTGGTCCCCTCCCCCGCTGCCTCATGCATTATTGATCTCCCGGCGGAGCCGGCAGGGCCCGGGCTGCTGCCGGCTGCCCGTGCGCACCGCGGCGGGACATGTGTGCATCTGGCGCTTCTGCCCAGTGCCCGGCTCTGGTGGGTGCTACCCTGCCCCACAGACTGGGAGGGTAGGAAAGGGGGCGGTGAGGCTCTCAGTGGGAGGAGCTGAGGGTCCAAAGTGGGACTTTTAGGGGGGTGTTTGATGGGAGGAGTTAAGGGGAGACAGCGGCCGTCTTGGGCCTCTATCTAAGAGGCCAGTTGGGTGAAGGCATGGGGGGGGAGCACTGCAGAAGGCAGAGCCACGGTCGGGCAAAGCCCTAGAGTGGGGGTGCAGGGGTTCCAGAGGAAGGGGAGCCGGGCTGCCATCTTCTGGGTCCAGGCTCTGAATTCCTCAGTCCTTTGGGGGATCACTCACGCCCCACTCCCTGGTTCCCCGCAGGACAGCCTTCTGAGAAAGCACCCAGGGTTTCCTGGAGCCCCGGAGTGTGTGTCCAAGGTGGGGTGGGGCATAATTTTGGCGGTTTCCTTTGCCTGGGGACACAGTGGGACACACCCAGGGTGTGTGTGGGGGGGCAGGTGAGCGGAAGCTGAGCCCTGGAGGTGTGAGAGGGAGGAGAGTGATGGCTGTGCTGTGCTCAGGCTCTCTTTCCTCCCAGGGCCCCCTCAGACCAGGTGACGCCCACCCAAGACTGCCTTAGGGAGGGGCTGTGCCTTCTCCATGGACTTCCAGGAGCGGGACCCCCCCTCGCTGGCCGAGAGGACCCAGTCTGCGAAGTCCAGCAGCACCCAGCAGGTTTGAGGGGGCATGAGCTGGCTGTTGTTGGCTGGTGGGGGGTGGGGGGAGGTCTCCCAAAGGGGGAGGTTCAGCGGTGGCCTCCCCAATGGCTCCTCCATCTCTACCCTCCACTACAGGCCTCAGAGCTGTGGGAGGAGGTAGCGGAGCCTCGGGGCAGGCAGGGGCCTGAGGGGATCATGCCGGACCGGCAGGAAGGTCACCTGCTCAAGAAGAGGAAGTGGCCTCTGAAGGGCTGGCACAAGGTAGGCGCAGGGCCAGGGGTTGGGCCGGATGGGTGCGGGGGAGGTGCGGGTGCAGAAAAGAAAAGGCCACGTGTGTGGTATTTCTCCCTGCCCGCCTTTCTCTTGGCCTCCTGGGACCATCACAGAGATACTTTGTTCTGGAGGATGGAATCCTGCACTACGCAACCACCCGGCAAGATGTGAGTTGGGGCTGGTGCGGGCGCTGGGGGGTAGGGGGTTCAGGTAGCCCAGACCTGCCCTTGGCTGGCTGTGGCATCTTGCGGGGGTGTCTCGGTTCCCTCGAAGATGGGGAGAGTGGGACCACCTGAGTGGGAGGTGAGGCCCCCCCCAAGTGAGGAGTGAGTGTTGGAAAGGTGGGGCCTTGCCATCCTCCCTGACATTTTGTGTGTGGGGGGGGGCAAGGTGCCTGGTGTTCCCTCCCCAGCTTTGGGGATCCCTGAGGGGGGCAGAGCCTTCCTGGCTCGTGGCTCTCTCAAGCTTGGAATGTGAGTGGACATAGCAGGATGCTCTGCGCACAGGTGGACGCTGTCGTGTGACCTTCTGGTGGACTCTGCCCCAGACCCCGAACCAGGACAGCTTTGGGGCAGTGGTGGCCTCTGAGCCTCACAGCAACTGTCCTTCCCCCTCTGCCCCCAGATCACCAAGGGGAAGCTCCATGGCTCCATTGATGTCCGATTATCCGTCATGTCCGTCAACAGAAAGGCCCAGCGCATTGACCTGGACACTGAAGACAACATCTACCACCTCAAGGTGACAGTCCAGAGCCAGGGGGCAGCTCGGCGCCCTACCCTGGCAGCCGGCGAGAGAGGGCAGCAGGGCTGGGGTCTCTGGAGCATGGTAGACCTGTATTTGAAAAGAAGGGATGGAATAGAAGCTGGACCAGAGAGACAAGACAGCGGGAAGGGCATTTGTCTTGCTTGCACTTGACCTAGGCTCCATCCCCGGCATCCCAGATGGTGTCCTGAGCACCGCCATGACTAATTCCTGAGTGCAGAGCCAGAAGTAACCCCTGAGCACTGCTGGGTGTGGCCCCCAAACCAAAAAATAAACAAATAAGTAAATAACAAAGGAGAGCCGAGGGCAGAGCATTGCTGGGGCACAAACAGGCCAAAACCAAGACCCAACTCTGGGGGGCTGTGCCTGCCCCCCACAAAAGGCCACTGCACACGCTGGGCACTACTACCCCCTGGCTGGCCTGGAAAGCAGTTTTGCCTTTCATCCTCCCACTGCAGATCAAATCCCAGGAAATGTTCCAGAGCTGGGTGGCCCAGCTGCGTGCCCACCGCCTGGCCCAGCGCCTGGATGTGTCACGAGGCTCGCTGCCCAGCACTGCCCACCGGAAGGTAAGACAGGGCAGGAGTGGTGGTGGAGGGTGGGAATCCTGGGACTCAGGTGCTACCCTTTCCTCCCTTGATTCCCGCGCAGGCTCCTGGTGCCCAGACAGCAGCGGGTACTGCAGCCATCCCTGGGCTGGGGCCACGGGAGAAGGTGTCCTCCTGGCTGAGGGACAGCGACGGGCTAGACCGCTGTTCCCATGGTGAGCAGCACCTCTGCAGGATGTGGGGTACCCATGATTGTCTGGGTGGTTTTTGTTTTTTGTTTTGGGGCCACACAGGGCAATGCTCAGGGCTGAGCCTTGGTTCTGCACTCAGGAATCACCCCTGGTGGTGCTCTGGGGCCCCTATGAGATGCCGAGGATCGAACCCGGGTTGGCTGTGTGTAAGGCAATTGCCATCCCCGCTGTACTTTCTCTCCGGCCACAGTTGTCTGAGTGGTGGTAGCGGTCAAGGGGGTTTGTGACCTTCATCTCCTCCTTAGGGGGCCTCAATCTTTCAGAAGATGATGGGGTTCATGCGCCTGAGCCCTTCCTTATACCAGGCTGGGATGCACAGAAAGGAGGCTGGTGTATGTCCCTTCTTGGGGCCATTCCCAGAAGCTCCAGGGAAGGGGGATACTCAAGAGTTGGGGGTGGGGTGGGGCTGGACTCTTGTCCCACAAGTAGGAAGTGCAAGCCAAGTGGAGAGCAAGCAAGCGAGCGAGGGCCCCTAGTCTGTAGGAGATCCCAGGGGCCTGGGGTTCTGGTCTTCCTAGAAGGCCAGAGCCAGGAGTGGGAGTTGCTGGGGGTTCCTGTAGGGGGGCGGAGGAAAGGGGCCCTATTTCCCTGACGGTTACAGGCGACCCTTGGAGGGCAGGACTTGGGTTCCAGGCCAGCGCTGGGAGAGGGATGCCCTGGTTCTTCTCCCCACAGAGCTCTCTGAGTGCCAGGGCAAGCTCCAGGAGCTGCACCGGCTCCTCCAGAGTCTGGAGTCTCTGCATCGCATCCCCTCCGCCCCCGTCATCCCCACGCACCAGGTTGGTCTGTGCTTCTCTCCCCTCAAGCCCCCCCCTCCCCCCATCGCCCTCAGTCCCCCGAGCCTCCTGTGGAGTTCCTGGACAGCTGCCTCCTGCCCTTGTCCACGCTGTCTCGTAATTCTCTCTGCCCCCTTGGAGCCACTCCTTTCTGTACCCACACACCCGCCGGCGTCTCTGCCCCTCCTCTGTGGCCAGCTGCCTCTCCCCGTTTCCCGATTCTGAGCTGACAGTCCCCCACCTGGGTCCTCCAGGCCTCGGTGACTGCCGAGAGGCCCAAGAAGGGGAAGCGGACGAGCCGCATGTGGTGTACCCAGAACTTTGCCAAGGACGACACCATCGGACGGGTGAGGTGGGGTGTGGACCCCCACGTTGCCGCTGCTGGGCGGGAACCTTCGAGGAGGCTCTCCCCCTCATCCCCTCCCATCCCCCCACAGGTCGGACGTCTCCACGGCTCTGTCCCCAACCTGTCTCGCTACCTGGAGTCCCGGGACACCTCGGGTCCCCGAGGGCTGCCGCCCCCCGACTATGCCCACCTGCAGCGCAGTTTCTGGGCCCTGGCCCAGAAGGGTGAGTGGTTGCTGGAGGGGTGAGGGGGACAGGTGGGTAGCGGAGAAAGGGGGCTCACGGCCTGCCCCCACCCCCAGTACACACCTCCCTCAGCAGTGTCCTGGCCGCCCTCACCACCGAGCGGGACCGCCTCCGAGACCTGCACCAGGGCTCTGAGCTGCCGAGGCTGGGGGTGAGGCTTGGGGGCCCTGGGGGCCAGTGGAAGGAGAGGACTCCAGGGTGTGGGGGGTTGGGGGGGGCGAGACTGATCTACAGAGTTGACCCTGGTCTCCCCTCTCCCCTGCACAGGTCTCTGAGGCCTCCACCGCCTCGAGGCGCCTCCACTCTCTGTCCATCTCCTCCGACACCACTGCGGACTCCTTCAGCTCCCTGAACCCCGAGGAGGTGGGCCTGGGCCTGCGGGGTACTGGGCTTCCCCTGGGCCACCCCTCCCGGTAGGAGAGTGGGGGTGGGGGTCAGCAGGTCTGCCCGTAGCCTGCTCGCTCAGCACTCAGTGTCCCTGGCCACTCAGCAGAGAGTCATTTATTATTTGGGCGTGGGGGGGTGGGGAGGGTCATGCTTACAGGAATGACTTCAGGCTCGGTACTCGGGGGTTATTCGCGGCACTGCCTGGGGGGACTGTGTGGTGTTCAGGCCTTTTGCTTGCATCTCCCTGGCCCTGCTGAGCTCTCTTTTTTTTCTTTTCTTTTTTTTTTTTTCTTTCTTTTTGAGCCATACCCAGTGATGCACAGGGATTACTCCTGGCTCATGCACTCAGGAATTACTCCTAGTGGTGCTCAGGGGACCATATGGGATGCTGGGAATCGAACCCGGGTTGGTTGTATTTAAGGCAAACGCCCTACCCTCTATGCTCTCTTTCCAGCTCCCTGCTGGACTCTTCGATTAGGGCCGCTCCCAGCACAGCTGGGCCTGGTTGGGACATCGGAACCACCTCCTAGTGTCAGGGGCCGCCAGGGCCACAGGCAGCGGTGTTCGTGTCGGGGTCCTGGAGTCCCGGGACAACTCAGGCTAGGCTCTAATGGTGGCCACCCGAAGGGCAGGTACTGCCAGGACCCAGGCCTCATGCATGAGACCTCTGTGGTCTCCCTTGAGCCCACAGCCCAGCCTGGGCAGCAAAGCAGACTCCCACAGGGTAGCCAAGGCTCAAAAGAGCCTGGGCTGGAGCGATGGTACAGCAGATGGTACAGTGGGGAGGGCTCTTGCTCTGCACGCAGTCGACCCTGGCCCGATCCCCTGAGCACTGCCAGGACAGATTCCTGAGCACAGAGCCAGGAGTAAGACGATGTGGTTCCCGAACAACAAAAGACTCAAAGAAGGGCTGGAGTGATAGCACAGCGGGGTAGGGCACTTGCCTTGCCTGCAGTCAACTGGGCTTTGATCCCCGGCCTCCCCTGGTGTCCCCCAACCCTGCTAGGAGTCATTCCTGAGTACAGAGCCAGGAGTAACCCTGAGCAGTGCCCCCTGCAGATTTGCATCAGGCACCATCACCTGCTGGTGCTGTGCCTTTGTCTGCAGAGTGGGGACTTCCTTGCATCGAGGGCCAGGGTTGGGGTGGGGTACAGAGTTGGTGCTCCCAGGGGGATGCCCGGGCCCCTTCCCCCTCCTGTGCACCCTCTCTTCCTGCTCAGCAGGATTCACGCACCCACCACAAATCCAGTTCCAGCTTCCCTCTGGGCCGCGGTCAGGTCCTGGGGAGCCCTGCCTGACCCCCGACTTGGCTTCTCTTGCTCCCATAGCAGGAAGCTCTGTACATGAAGGGGCGCGAGCTGACCCCGCAGCTGTCCCAGAGCAGCGTCCTGTCCCTCGCTGACTCACACACAGAGTTCTTTGATGCCTGTGAGGTGCTCCTATCGGCCAGCTCTTCCGAGAACGAGGTAAGGGTGGGGGGAAAGAATGGGAGAGGGTGGGGTTCCCTATTCCTGGGAGATGGCTCCCAAGGCCTGTCACCTGCTGGTTTCACGCAACCCTGCTCAGAAATCTCTGCTGGGCCCTTCCTCCTGGATGCTCTGTTCGCACTGGACTCTCCACTTACGCTGCACGCCAGCCATTGCCCTGGGACCTCATTTTAGCCTGTGCTCCTTTGACCCCTACCCCTGACTCTGGACCTCAGACCCCATTCCCTTTCCTCGCGTCCCTCCCTGGCTTTCTCCTTGAAGTGGGGGAAGCCATCCTTTTCCCCTTGGAGGATGGCCAGACACCCCCCACCAGCTAGCACCCCAGGACAGCATCCCAGGGCTCAGACCCGCAGAGTCCGTTCCCTGTGCACTGCCTGCCTGTCCTCTGTCTCGGCCCAGGGCACCGAGGAGGAGGAGGAGTCATGTGCCAGCGAGGTCACCACCAGCCTGTCAGAGGAACTGCTGGAGCTCAGGGGGGTGGAGCCATGGCAGAAAGGTGCTGGGGGTTGGGGACAGGGCGGTGGGCATGGGAGAGCCACAGGCTCAATCCAGGGAACCAGGGCCCTCCAGGAGACTGTCCTTTGGGACAACTGCCACTGAGGGCTCTGGGTGCTGATCCCAGAGGCAACCCCAGGAGATGAAGCTAAGCTCTGAGCGCTGGAAGTTTCCAGGTTTGGGTTAGACTGAGAGCTGGGGAATGAACTTTCTGTAAGGGCAGAAGGTCCTATTTCACCACTCTTGTTTGGGAGCTGGGATTTGGGCTGCACCCAGCCGTGCTCAGGGGCTATTCCTGACTCTGCTTAAGAATGACCCCTGCTGGCACTCAGGGGACCAGATAAGTGCCAGCGGGTTGAACTGGGGTCCACTGCTTAACACGGCTAGTGCCTGACCCCCTGCATGTTACTCTGGCCCCTTTTCTCACCACCTTTTTACGGTGTGGTTTATACTGGTCATTTTACTTCTTGGAACCTGTTCCCGCACCTCTAAAACGGGTAGAATCATCTGCATTCTGACATGGGTTGATGAAAAGAAACAGGCAGCGGGGGGCTTGGGAAGGTCTTCTGGAGTACAGGGCTGGTGGCAGTGAGGAACCTGTCCCCCTGAGTGGTCCAGAGCCCCAGGCTCAGCTACCCCCATCCCCAACCCAGAGCTCTTCCAGAATCAGGTTGTCAGTCGCCCTGTCCCATCTGTGTGCAGGCGCAACAGGCATCTTGCAGGGTCCAGGGGTGCTGCGTCCAGGAAGGAGGATTCCAGCGGCCCCGGGGCCCTGGGGTGTGTGTGTGTGTGTGTGTGTTGCAGGCAGAGCTCCTGGGCCTCCCCGTCGCCGTTGCCTGCCTGCCGCCAGCGGCCCCGGGGCCGACGTGAGTCTGTGGAACATCCTGCGGAACAACATCGGCAAGGACCTGTCCAAGGTGTCCATGCCCGTGCAGCTCAATGAGCCGCTCAACACGCTGCAGCGGCTGTGCGAGGAGCTGGAGTACAGCAGCCTCCTGGACCAGGCCAGCCGGCTGGCCGACCCCTGCGAGCGCATGGTAGGGCCCCTCCCTGGAGCCCCGTGCTGCCGGCTGCTCGGGGCGGGGCGGTGCCAGCCCCGCTCCCCTGTGCCTCCCCTGCGCCCCTGCAGGTGTACGTGGCCGCCTTCGCCGTCTCCGCCTACTCCTCCACCTACCACCGCGCCGGCTGTAAACCCTTCAACCCAGTCCTGGGGGAGACTTACGAGTGCGAGCGGCCCGACCGGGGCTTCCGCTTCATCAGTGAGCAGGTGGGTGTGGGGGGCTGGGACCCTGCTCGGGGGAACGTTTGGGGGCCCGGGACCTTGCTCGGGGGAACATTTGGGGGTCCGGCTGTGCGCCAGGGGACCGGAAACCCCAGGCCAGAACCAGGAAGTTGCAGGATAGGTCCTAGAGCAGGGCTCACGGGGACGTCTTAGCATGAGTTCCAACCCCGGGTAGGAGGAAGAGATGTTTCAGGCCAGCTCAAGGAGCCAATGGAAGATCTTTTGGAACAGAGACAGGCTGGAAGACAAGGCAGGGCCAGACCCTGAGGAGCCCTGCAAGGAGTTTGGGTGTTATTTTTTTGGGGGGGGATGTATTTTGTTTTGAGGTTCCAGACCTAAGCATGGGTTACTACTTCCTGTTCAGTCTTTTGGAGAACCCTGTGGTGCTGGGGATCTAGCTGGCTCCTGCAAATAGCTCTCTGAGCTATTTCCCCACCTGGAGTGTGTTTTTGTTGTGTATGTAAACCCGAAGGACATTGGAGCTTTTAGAAGGTTCCAGCAGTGGAGTGACAAATGTAGAATTCACTTCATCAAGGACTCTGGGCAGTGGTGTGCGAAGGGTCAGAGGAGGCCATTAGGTGGCCATTCCCATCATCTCGAAGGCACATGCCTGGCTCTTAGTCTCTGGCAGACGGTTACGGGGGAGGGTGGATTCAGGAGCTATTTATGTGTTGTCCCTGACCTTGCTTGCGGAGGACAGAAAGTTTCTCTGAGGTGGTCGATGAGAAGGAGATGTCTGGGGCGGCCTCTGGTTTGGGGGATTCAGCGGTATGTGGTCTAGTTAGCAAGAGAGGCAGCATCTGGGCCAGGTGGCTGAGTCAGGAAGACACCTTGGCCCTGTGTGCTAGGCTTCCAGGCTTTGCAGGGAGCTGGGTGTGGCTGACAGATGGGGGTCACCACTTAGATGTTGGGTGGAGTCCCAGGCTGCTCCTGGGAGGGGATGGCCATGGGCCAGGGGGTGTCCTTGGTTTCCTGAGTGAGCACAAGCTCCAGAGAAAGGTGGGGGTGAAGTGAGTGTAAAATAACAGAGAGAGATGCAGGTTGTTTCCAAAAGAGTTTTACCACGAGCAAAGGAGGAGAAGGAGGGAGAGAGGATGGCAGCCATGGGGGGGGGGTGTGCTAAAGGCTTGAGGCTTTTCTTGGGGGGAGGGAAGATCAATGATTCAGACCTCAGGCCTAGACTGTGATGCAGCTCAGACGCAGCCGTGTCAGGAACAACCAGAGCTGCAGTTCTAGGGTGGGGGAACTCAGGACCCGAGCCCCGAGCCATCTCCCTAGCACCAAGGCACTTGGTTTGAATGTTTGAGTGTTTTGAATGTTTGGGGCCTGGATTGTGGCTCAGCATCGAGCAACTTGCCTTGTATGTGTGAAGCTCTGGGTTCGGTCTGTGGCACCTCAACTAACAGCAAAAGAATCAGAGGCATAGATCTAGCGGTGTTTGGAGGTGCGTGCAGTGTTCGGCGGGCATGGTGGCTAATGAATCCTGGCCAGCCGGCTCTCTGAGGCCCCCCGGCCCTCCAGTGTGTGTGCGGGGGCACCTCAAGAAGGAAGGACTTCCTCTGGAATGGAAGGAGCAGAAGAGACTTACTGTCCCAGGATAAACCTAGAGGGAAAGGCTGCAGGTCTGCGGGAAGGGTTGGCAGGAACCAGGGAAGAACCTGGCAGAAAGTCCAGCTCGGGAGGGGGGGGCATGTGGGCAGCGGGAGGAGTTACTGTTGCTCCTTGGTGTCCTCCCAGATTAGGAATGGTGGGCAGCCTTGGGTGCAGGCCCCCAGGGGGTGTAGTGAGAGCTGGAAAGATGCCGTGGAACTAGCAGATTTCCAGTGTGTGCCGTGTCTGGGGGGGGGGGAGGGGGAGGCTGAGGAGCAGGGAGTGGGGGCACAGTGGGGGAGGGGCCATGTTGGGTGACGGTAGGAGTTGGCAAGGGTACTGGATGGTGGGAAGTGAGGGAGCTGTCCCCACTGGTAGGACGGGAAATGAAGGCAGAATGGGAGTGACTGGCCACGACAAAGCTTGGTGTCTCTTTGGGGGTCAGGCAGGGGACCGAGGCAGGCTGAGGAGCCGGATTTTGATGGCCCCATGTGCAGCCCCTCCAAGCCTCACAGCCAGGCCCTGGTGGGGCGTGGGGCGGAGGGTGGAGGGGGCTGCTCAGTGTTGAGGGGGAGGCTGGTGCGTGTGAGGGGCCCGGGAGAGGGCTAGCTCTCAGAGGCTTTGCAGGCTTGATTGGGAGGGCCAAAGAGCGGGGCAGTGGAAAGGGAGACCCAGGGCTTCTGGTGGTCTGTGGAGGCGGCCAGGGATGAGGGGGAAAAGACTCCTGGATTGGGCTTCTGGTTTCCAGGGGAACCGGGGAGAGAGTCAGAGCCTCTGGGGCCCCTGGGTCAGAGGGGACAGCTCACGGTATCCTTTCTTTGCTCACCAAGGTCTCCCACCACCCCCCTATCTCGGCATGCCACGCGGAGTCTGAGAACTTCATCTTCTGGCAAGGTGAGGGGCGCGGGGATAGGGTGGAGGGCAGGGGAGGGGCTGGCACCCCCTCTGGCCTGATCCCTGCCATCCCCCCTCATCCCAACCCAACTGCAGACATGAAGTGGAAAAACAAGTTCTGGGGAAAATCCCTGGAGATTGTGCCGGTGGGGACTGTCAACGTCCGCCTGCCCAGGTGAGTGTCCCCAAGTGCTCAGCAGCCAGGCCCAGCAGGTGGGCGGGCACCAGGCTGGCAGGGGCAGGGCAGAGAAGACTGGCCTGGCGCGCCTGGGGAGTTCACACCTACATTTACAGCAGCTGCTGAGAACAGTGAGGAGGCGGGGAGCCAGAGGGCTTATCGAGGTCATCTGACGCGATGGCTTTCGCACTTTTGACTGTGACTCACAGCAGGAAATGCAGCACAACACACATATAGGTGTGTACACGCACACACACACACACACACAAACACGTACATGCACAGGTGCAGATATAGGCGCACACATGCACAGGCACACACATGCATAAACACAAGCAAGGAGCACGTTCATATGTGTATGTACAGGCACATAGGCATACATGCACAGACATACACATGCATAAGCAAACACATAGGCACACACACAGGTGCAGGTACACACGCGCACATGCCCTAAATTGATTTTAGGACAAATTAAACAGTCTTTTAGCTGGTTTTACAGGGAAGAGGCTCTGTTGCCAGGAGCTAACTGGATGCCTGTGTTGGGGATATCCTGGATTTGGGGGGTACTAGCTGAGAGTTTGGTTCTGCTTAGTTGATCGTTCTGCAAGCAGCAGACAGAAGTGGTGCCTTCTTGAGTGAGAAGGGGCTAGGGGGATAGAGCTGGCCTTGGCTGCCTATACCTGGCACCCAAGGGCAGGGCAGAGCAGGGCAGGGCAGGGTCAGGCCTGCTGTGTTCTTAGTCACAGGCCTTCAGCTCTAGAGGCTTTAGAATGAATGGAGAGGTGTTAGCTGAAGCCTTTCTCTCCAGTTGCGCTGTGCAGAGGCGGGGTGTGCGTGATGCCACCAGGACCCGGTGGTGCTGGGCACTGAGTCTGGGGCCCTGGCCCCGATGCTGCTCAGCTTTCTCTGTGCAACACCCTTCTCAGCTGCAGGAATCAGGGCTTCCTGCCCTCCGGGCTCCCTGGCTAGGCTGAGGCGGGGGTGCAGCTGTTTTGGGGCCTTCTGCTGCCCCTGTGCTGTGTCTCTCAGGTTTGGGGATCACTTTGAGTGGAACAAGGTCACGTCTTGCATCCACAACATCCTGAGCGGCCAGCGCTGGATCGAACACTACGGGGAGGTGCTGATCCGGAACACGCAGGACAGCTCCTGCCACTGCAAGATCACCTTCTGCAAGGTGGGCTCCCACCCCGCCCCCCGCTGCCCCGTGGAGGGGGCACCTTCCTAAGGCCCCTGTCCCGCACCCTCCTAAGGCCAAGTACTGGAGCTCCAACGTCCACGAGGTGCAGGGCGCCGTGTTCAGCCGGAGCGGCCGTGTTCTCCACCGACTCTTCGGAAAGTGGCATGAGGGGCTGTACCGGGGTCCCCCGCCCGGTGGTCAGTGCATCTGGAAGCCCAGTAAGCAGGATTACCGGCAGGGCTGGGTGGGAGTGAGGGCAGCTCTGGCACAGTCCCTCTGCCCCAGCGCCTGGCCTTCCCCACTCCAGACTCGATGCCCCCAGACCACGAGCGAAACTTTGGCTTCACTCAATTCGCCTTGGAACTGAACGAGCTGACGTCAGAGTTGAAACGGTCGCTGCCATCCACGGACACGCGGCTCCGTCCAGACCAGAGGTGAGTGCCAGGTGTCCCTCTCTGCACTGCCAGGGCCCCCGCCCCACCCCCCTAACCCCCTGCCTCGCCTTTCCAAGTAATGGCACTATGTCCTTTTTTTTATTTTGCTTTTTGGGTCACATCCAGCTATGCACAGGGGTCACTCCTGGCTCTGTACTCAGGAATGACCCCTGGTGGTGCTTGGGGAGCCCTATGGGATGCTGGGGATTGGACCCAGGTTGGTTACCTGCAAGGCAAACATGCTACCCGCTGTGCTATCACTCCGGCCCTCTGTGTCCTTTTTCTTTCTGCTTGTTTTGGGGCCCAACCTAACGCGAGGCTCTGGGCTTACTCCTGGCTCTGTGCTCAGGGGGGCCATATGGGTTACCGGGGACCGAACCTGGGTCGACCCTACTGGCTGTCCTGTTGCTCCAGCCCCTGGCCTTGAGCTGCCTGTCTGCAGGCAGAGCTGGCCAAGGGATCAAGGCCTTGGGCCGAGGGACTCCTTGGGGGAGAGAGGGGAGGCGACTTGGCTGATGAGTCTGGGTGCTCAGGTACCTGGAAGAGGGGAACATACAGGCTGCTGAGGCCCAGAAGAGACGCATCGAGCAGCTGCAGCGAGACCGGCGCCGAGTGATGGAGGAGAACAACATCGCCCACCAGGCGCGCTTCTTCAGGTGCTCCTGCCCCCCGCCCTGCGGCTGTTTCTCAGGAGCCTGGTCTTGTCTTTGTCTCTGGGTTCTGGGTCACACCCGGAAGCTCAGGGCTTCTTCCGGGCTCTGTGCTCAGGGCTCGCTCCCAGTGGGGCTTAGGGAACTCCACGGGGTACTGGCGATCAAACCCATGTTGGCCATGTGCCGACGAGTCCCTTAACCTGCTGGGCTATCACTCTGGCCCCTTGGGTGCCTGATCTTTCTGTTTTCACTCCCCTCCACCCTGCCCTGCCTTTGCTTTGCAGATGATATTGTCATGATGACCGGGGGTGACACCCACGCTGGCTGTGGGATCACACGTTTAACCGCGGTGCTGACCAGTGGTCGCACGTGGGGGTGCAGTGCTCGCACCCGTGGCCCCTGGGCTTGCTGAGGCCATGCTCCTTTGGTGGCAGGGCTCGCCCACATGCTCTCACTCGTGGTGATGGTGGCAAGGCTGTGATAGGATACCCCCAGGTGGTTGGTGCCCCTGGAAGCCAGGGAATGGGGTGATAAGCAGGACTGAGGGCAGGAATGGTGCAGCCCCTCTGTCCTAGATCCTTACCTCTAAGATTCGATGTCCCCAGGCCCCAAACTGGAGTTAGCACCTCCAGACCCTAGACCAGAGTTAGCACCTCCAGGTACTCAGACCAGAGTTAGCACCTCCAGGTACTCAGACCAGAGTTAGCACCTCCAGACCGCAGGCCAGAGTTAGTGCCCCCAGGCCCCAGGCTCCCACTTTTATCATTTTTCTGACTTCACTCACCCCGTGTCATGGTGGTGCCCGTTCCTGTTCACCAGGGCTCATGTCTTGGCTGTGATGCTTGTGCATCTTCCGTAGTTGCTGTGCTTGCCAGGAGCTATGCCCCTTTATGTGATGTGCGCACACACCTGGGTATGTCCCCAGGGTTTGTAGATTGCAGAGTGGCGGGACCATGCTCGGTGCACATAGGCAACTGGGGATTTAAACTCGTGACCTTCCTCCTGCAGGCAGGCACCCTAAGCCCCAGCACTCTCTCGCCAGGTTCCTCACATGCCTGATCTGCATTGTTTGGTTTGGTTTTTATTTTGATTTATGACCTACCCGGAAGCTACTCCAAGCTCAGTGCTCAGCTGGCTTTCGGTGATGCTCGGGGAACGAGGTGGCTTGGGAGTGGGGGAGAGAGTAGAAGCTGGTTCCCAACGTGCAACACCTGAGCACACGCCCTTTGAGCCCGTGGCCCAGTTCCAGGCACCTGGTCCTCACTGCGGCTGTTCACCTGTCCCCCTCCCTGGCCTCTTCTTGCAGGCGGCAGACGGACAGCAGTGGGAAGGAGTGGTGGGTGACCAACAACACATACTGGCGGCTGCGGGCTGAACCTGGCTACGGGAACCTGGATGGGGCTGTGTTGTGGTAGCCCCGGCCTTGGGGCAGGAGACCCGGCTTCCTGCCTCCTGCCTCCGCGCCCACAGACACATGAGTGAGACCAGGCTCCTGGAGGACCGAGGGGCACCTCTGGCTCTGCCTGCTCCCCTCTGCTGGCCAGGGGGGCTGCACACCCCAGCACATCGCCCACCCCGTGTCCGGGGTGGGAAACAGAATTCCTGCTCTTCTAGTCTCGTTGTCCCAGACCACCGGCATGTAAGACCCTTCTTGCTCTGTCTTCCCCCTCTCTCTCCCCCTGGTCACCTGGGGGAGACGTCAGGCTCTCCAGGATCTGTTCCCCATTTCAGTGCCTTCCTAGGACACAGGGGACTCCTTGATGCTCCCCAGGCTTCCCATGCCCAGGGCCCAGCCTCAGCTGTGTGGTTGGATGCGTGAAGGAGAGGAGAAGGGTTTCTCTCCCCCCCTTTGCTCCTGTCCTGGCCTCATGGGGCTCCCTTGGCTCAGTCCCCAAACTGCAAAAACGCCTGCAGCTTCTAGCACCTTCCTTGGTCCCCAAGTGGTTTCCTTCAGACCCAGCTCAGTGGATCCCCCAGAACTGATGAAACCTCTCCAAGAGGTGGGGAGCTGGCGGAGCAGATAGGGCACCTGGCTCCACACCCCCACCCCAATGTGTGAGCTGTTGTGTGTGTGTGTGTGTGTGTGTGAGCTGTCACATGTGTGTGTGTGAGCTGTCACATGTGTGTGTGAGAGAGCATGTGTGTGTGCATGCATGCGTGTGTGTGTGTGTGCGCGCGCGCTGTGTGTGCTGTATGTGCTGCTCGCGGGCGAGCGGGGTCCCCAATGTAGCCGGGTGCCGTGCTGCTGCGCGCCCCCCACCATTGCTGCTCATTCTTGCAGTCTGCCTCTAATGACGGTGAATGGCTGTGACATTCCAAGCGCCAATAAAAATTGTCCCGAATTTTGGCCTGCGACCATTCATTTGAAAAAGAATGAAACAGGGGCCAGGGAGCTAGTACAGCGGGTAGGGCACTTCACACGGCTGATCCAGGTTGTATCCCCAGCACCCAATATGGTCCCCTGATCACTGCCAGGAGTGATCCCTGAGCACAGAGCCAGGGGTAAGCCCTGAGCACCACCAGGTGTGGCCCAACCCCTCAACAACAACCCCTGAAACAAAGCATATGAGCAGAAGAGCAGAGGGGGACTTGACTTCGGTTGGGGGTCCTCACTGAGCCCCTACAGATGCTGAATTATCTGTCATACTCTACACCCAACCCTGCATCATGTTATAGATCATTTTGACCAATAAAAAATTAAAAACTAAAAAAATGGGGTGCCAGGGGAACATCTCAAAGGGCAAGAGAGCAGGCTCTGCTTGCCGGGGCCCAGGGTTCATCCTCAGCAGCGTATGGTCTCCCCAGCGCCACCAGGAGAGAGACCCTTGACCATTAGCCCCTGAGCACCTCCAGCTATGCCTCCTGCAAACAAAACAAAATTCCCAAAGCAAGCAAAGCTTCTGAAGTTCAGGGGTAGAGAGTGTTTTGCATGTGTGAGGTCACCCTGGGTTCTATTTTTTGCACCTCAAAATAATAAGAAAAAATTCAAACAAAAAGAACAAAGCATGTGTGAGCTGAGCAGAGCCCAGAGGTCCTCAGGCTCAAGGTACAAATCCGATATCGCCTCTCACGGCGGAACCTCATGCTTCTCTGGCCTTGTCTGTCTGCCCCCAGCCTCCCTCGTCTGGACTGTGGCCATCGCCGCAGGCCTCCCGCCATGGCCATTTCAGTCTGGCTTTCAAGGGTGGTATTTTAGTTTTAAATTTTAATATGAGAACCGTCTCAAAGTGATGGGCCAGCCGGGCTGCGGACAGGGAGCCGGAGAGGTCAGTGCAGGAACAGAGAACAAACAGCCAGAGAGAGTCAGGCAATCTGAGCTCCGGCAGAGAGTTCCTCCAGTGGCCTCCAGAGGGCGCCTGGGTCTCCAGGAAGGACCAGGTTGGTGCCTGAGCTCCATCCTGGAGTATCAGGTCCCCAAGCTTCTGGGAAAGGCTGAGCACAGCTGTGCAGTGAGAAAGGACAGGCAAGCAGGCTGTCTTCATCAGCACTCACCGTCCCTGTGCCTCTTCACATTTTAGGGACGTCCACTGAGTCAGAAACCCCCCAGTTCTGGAGACCCAGGGAGCCCCACTGACTCTCAGAAGTTCTCTAGATGTTCTAGGGGATAGTGACTTGACTTCTGTTATGGTACCACCTCACTTCCGGGTCATCCCCTACCCCCACCCCATAGCTTTTCCGGAGACCCCCCCAACACACACACACACACACACACACACACACACACACACACACACACAGAGCCCTCCTAAAAGAACTTCCCCTGAGTTTCCAGTAATACCTTCTACTTCCTATGAGAAGGGCAGAGCAAAAAGTAGAACAAGTGGGGCTGTAGGTCACTAGCTTTGCACACGGTCAACTTGGTTTCTACCCTCACACCCCATATGGTCCCCAAGTACCACAAGGAGTGATTCCTAAGTCCAGAATGAGAAGCAACCCCTGAGCGCCTGCTGGGTATGGCCCAAAAACTTAAAAAAAAAAAAAAGTAGGATAGGGACTCCGTATTTGGCCCAGGGATCCTGGCCCAGCACCTGGGCTTTGAAAGGCCAGTTCCATCTCATGTGTTCCTCCCCAGCCCCTGTGGGGTGAAGGGGCTGTGGTGCCTGACTCTGCAGACAACTCTGAAATTGCTGGTGGAATTCCTGACCAGGTGGTGTTGGAACCACAGAACTAGGGCCTTGCCTGGGTCTCCCTCTTGGACTGTCTGTGTCTGCCCTATGTGGAGCCCCTCCCAATGCGCCCCAGACCTGAGGTCCAGTCATTGACCCAGAGTCATGCCTCTGACTTAGCCTGGAAGGCAGCTCCAAGCTCTCTGAGAAGTCTATGTCCAAACCCAGTCTTCCAGATCAGAATGAACTTGCATTTTAATTAAGGAAGAGAAAACATATTTTATTATTAGTTTGGCTTCTATATTGTAAACATTGAACATAGGCCAGGGATGTGCCTCAGTGATGCAGCACTTACCTTGTACACGTAAGGCCTTGGGTTCAGTTCCTGGCACTCTACGGAGCCTTGAGCACCACTGTGAATGACCCTTGAGCTCCAAATCAGGTAAAGCCCTGGAGTGTAGGGGACCATACGGTGCTGGGGACTGAACCCACACCACCTGCATGCAAAGCGCACACTCAGCCTATTGATTAGATTCAGGTCCAGCTTCCCTTTGTGGTAAGAGCATTTCAGAGGCTAAGTCCTTCACAGTCCATATCCCCAGAGGCACCTAGCACCCAGTGCCCTATTGAGCAGCACCCATAATGAGCCCCGATTTCTGCTGGGACCAGCTCAAAGGCTGCATAGTAAAGTGGCATGGGCACCTTCCATTGGTTACATAACTTAAAAGCTAACCTGTTCTTCATAATGCAGAGAAAATAATGCAGAAGCACAAAGAAAATAATCACTCCAAGACAAAGATAAGCAGCATCTTTTAGACCCCTTCCTTTCACTGAGGGGTCATTATTCCTTTCTGTGGTCACATGAATATAAATCTTTGAGTCATGATTAAATCTTTCTGAAGATCTTTCTTTAATTGCAATCATGTACCAATTGTCAGCTACTACCTAAACTTCTTGTAGATGACAGACAACAGGCATATGGGGCGATAGTTGCTAATATCATGGATGTCCCCCTTCTTGTCCAGTAGTACAGTCCTGCTGGTTTTCCATTGGGACCGGAACCTTGCATTCGGTCAGGTAGCGTGTGAAGAGCTGAGCCAGTGTATTGATGAGTACCGACGGCATATTCTTCAGGTGTTTAGGTTTGACCTTGTCTGGGTCAGGTGCTGTTTGCTTCTTTACCAACAAAATGGCGTGTCGGATTTCAGAAGGGAGAACATTGGGAATGACATATCCATCCTGCAGAATTTGGTATGTGGGCAGGTATGTGGCTATCGAAGAGATTCGAGTAGAAGTCATAAAAGTCGTGGATAATCTTCTCCATTGCACTTCTGGAAGATGTGATAGATCCATCAGGAAGTTGGAGGGCAGTCATCTTGGTCTTGTAGTTGGCCAAGAACAGGCAGACAGTTCTTTTCCTGGTATCTGCCTCATCTGCCAGCACTGGGGCTCATCTCTCTCTTTTTTTCTTTTCAGGTCACACCTGGCGATGCTCAGGGGTTACTCCTGGCTTTGGACTCAGGAATCACTCCTGGCAGTGCTCAGGGGACCATATGGGATACTGGGAATCGAACCCGGGTCGGCCGCATGCAAGGCAAATCCCTGCTTGCTGTGCTATCACTCCAGCCCTGCTCTTCTCTCTTTGAGGCCTTCCTTTATTGCTTCTCTGCACTGCTTTGTGAGCTCAGACGTTCGCTTGCGGTTGCCTGAGGCTTGCGCCAAGCCACGTTGGTGAATAAGCTCAAGAGTTTTCTAAGACCAGCGGTTTTTTGTGGCTCTCTTGGTATTCCTCACACAATCATGGAGGTGCTGAACCAGTTGATCGTATTGGCAGAACACTAGATGAAGGACAACCATGTGAGCAAGCCAGGTTCCACAAAGGATTCAGCACGATCGGGAGCTCAAGATGCCATTCTGTCTAATGTTCATTTATTTAAAGAAGGCCTTTGATTCTGTTGAGACAGAAGCAGTCATCGAAGCCCTAGCCAATCAGGGCATTCAAGCCCAATACATCAGGATCCTTCGTGAGCTGTATTACGGTTTCACTTCCAGGATCTCACCATTCTACAAAGAAGTGATCATCCATGTCAAGAGAGGGGTTTGGCAGGGTGATACCATTTCACCGAAACTCTTCAGTGCCACCCTCGAGAACGTCATGCGACGGCTGGAATGGGAAGGAATGGGAGTGAAGATAGACGGTCAGCAGCTACACTACCTCCACTTTGCTGATGATATCGTTCTAATAACACCAAACATCAGCCAAGCAGCACAAAAGCTGGCCGACTTTGACCGTGAGTGTGGAAAGGTCGAACCACAGCTGAATCTCATTAAGACAATGTTTATGAGAAACGGTCTCATTCCTGATGTTCCATTCGCTCTCAACGGAATGAACATCTCTGAATGCAACAATTATGTGTTCCTAGGTCCAGAAGTCAACATGACGAATGACCTGGCACCTGAGTTGTGCAGGAGGAAGAGAGCAGCTTGGAACGCCTTCAAGAGCGTCAAAGAAATAGCTAAGAGGACGAAGAACCTCCAGCTCCGGGCACATCTCTTCGATTCCACTGTTCTTCCTGCATTAACATATGCCTCAGAGACCTGGGCCCTAAGAAAACAGGATGAGAACGCTATTCGGGTCTCCCAAAGAGGAATCGAAAGAGCTATGCTTGGAGTATCACGCTTCACTCAATTGAGAGAAAGAATCCAGAATTCTGACCTCCGTCGACGGTCAAGAATCAGGGACACTGTCTCATTAGCCAAGGCGTCGAAAATCAGATGGGCTGGATACATAATGAGATTCGAAGACGACCACTGGACTAAAGCCATTACTGACTGGATTCCACGGGATGTCAAAAGATTGCGTGGCCGCCCACCTACAAGATGGTCAGACTTCTTCGTCAAGACCCTGAACGATCAGTTTGAGGCTGTTCGTGTTCTTAGAACGAGCAGACACCATTGGGCTACTCTAGCACACGGCAGGGACGAATGGAGACGTTACTGGTGCCCGCTTGAGCAAATCGATGAGTAACGGGATGTCAAGTGACCTAAACTTCTGAGCCTGGTAGGGGAGGCAAGCATGCACCAGAAAAGAGAGATGATTTTCTCCACATGAGGGGTGGTGGGGAGGGGTTTTGGCCACAGAGAGCACCGTTGGTGTTGGGGAGCACTTCCCACTCTCCTCCCAACTCATATGGACTTGAAAGCATTTTCATGCTTTCCCTAAAGTAAAC